CCACCGCAACGCAAACAAACGATATTCTTGAAAAAGTCTTGGCCACGTTGCTTGATAGCTCCGTTCCCCTTGGGAGGATTGGAGAAATTGGTGGGTTTTCCTTTTCCCTTCTTCCCCTTTGAGGACTTTGACCTACCCTTTGGTGGAGTCGGCCCTCGTGCAGCGACTGGATTGGCTCCTGCAGGAAACTGACCACCCGTCAGTGCAACGACAGGATAGAAACCTCTGGCAGTGCGAATTGCATTGATCTTCTTCTTCGCGTCAACGTAGGCTGCATACTTGGTGGTTGCTTTTGGTTTAGAGCACTTGCATGTACTTGCATGTACTTGCATGTATAGATGCAACCCACTTGCAACTAGGTTGCAACATGTTGCAAGTGCGGCAAGTAGGATGTAACTTGTAAGTGAAGTTATAGCATTTATAAATCAAAAAGCAAACTTATATGTTTTAGAAGTGTTTCAAGTAGGTTTAAACAAAAAAACACAAAATATACTTAAAACACTTACAAATAACTTAGCCAACTTAACTTTTTTAGGTTTTTTGAATTAGTTTTTTTTCTGAGCAAGTTTTTTTAATTTTCCTTACCTTTTTTTGATTCTGAAGAAAAATGAAAGAATACGATCTCTTTTGGAAAGTGCAGCCTGCCATGGAGCTTTTTTGCCACAAATCATTGTGTGGCTTCCATCGTTGCATTTTTTTGCTACTCAGGATTGTTCCATATGCGGCTCCTTGAGCCGCATGTCAGGCTATGGATCGGTGAGCGGCCGCCTGCGAGGATGAAAAAACAAGAGTGCTATGGAGTTGTCGTTCAATGAACCGCAGAAAGCATTTCAATAGCTACAGATCACCAAAAATAACATATTGATGCATATAATATAGGTGGTAAAATCGTTTCTTCAGGACGGGCGGCTCCTTGAGCCGCCAGTGTATGGTACTCATTCGGTTTTCTTGCAAGTTGGGGGGATATATATATATATAGAGTTTATGTAAATACAGCATGCACACACACATCATACAGATAAGACATATGTATATATATACTTACGCATAAACAACCAGAATTACATATATCAATGATCTTTGATGGAGAGAGGAGCGGCTCATTGAGCCGCTCATGCATATATGTGTCATGAGAACGTTATTGTTGAGATTTTGGTTTCCAGCTATAGCAAAACGGGGGCTATAGCGATGGCGTTTGATCATTTGCGGTCGCTTGGGGACTTCTTAGAAGCAAGCAGGGTTCCCCCCAGTTTCATCAAATACAATACACATGGCTACACATGGCTACACATGGCTACACATGGGCTACACATGGGCTACACATGGGCTACACATGGCTACACATGTGCTACATGTGTAAAATGGGTTTCTTGTATGTTTTACACATGTACGAACTAGTGTTTTTTGGTTTTACACATGGCTACACGTGGCTACACGTGGCTACACACCACCAACTTTTTCTGAGATCACCAGTTGCATGGCATGTGATTTCCCAGTCTTAGGGAGGATGGGGGCATGAATGTTTGACACGTCATACCGATACATGTTTGAAATAAAACGCTCAACACATATTAAAAATCAATTACTTCTCCATGTTCTATTTTCTACAAAGTTTCTGCTGTGATTATACGTAACGTGTCTTTGAAATTTATCGTGCGGCCCAATGGGCCGCAAGCAATGGTTACAGGCTTGATAAGCAAATTCCCCCATTTACACCACACACATATATATATATATCTTATAAATTCATTCCTGTAGTTGCTCTTGCGGCTCCATAAGCCGCAAACCCAGCAAACCTAGTGATATTAAAAACTGTATACAATCTGTTGATGCTGCAGATCCATGAGCCGCAAGGTCCAAGAGTAAGAGCCAGAAGAATCATGGGCCACATGTGGTAGTCAGCATGTTTGGCAGCAGTGGCTCCAGATCTCACAACCTTCGAACTTTCCTGTACATATGTGTTCATTTAGAAAGCTGCACTTTCCAAGTGGTGGAAATGTAAAGTTTCGAGATATTCTTAGCACCATCCCAAAACCAATCGAGCTTCAAAAAAATCAAAAAAACTATAGGTTTCGCATTATTTTTTGTTTTTTTGCCACAAATTTAAAAAAACAAACACGAACAAAAACGCATGTTTTTGGATGGTAGAGAAAGCTTGCTTTTACTTAGAAGATTTATAAGTTAGCTAAGTCCAACTTAGGCAACTTATGCTTATATAAAGAAAAACCTATTATCATAAGTGTGTTAAGTCCAACTTGTAAGTTCTATATATCCAGCAAGTTCCATAAGTTACTTGCAAGTACCATAAGTAAAAAAGCAACCACAAAGTAGGCAACATCATATTCTGCCACATCGAACAAGGTTTATTCTGCAGGATCCTCGCCGTAGTAGGCTGTCTCGCCATCAAAGTCTCCAGCATAGGATTGATCCTCGGCACCATCATCAGCGGCGTCCCATTCCCAGTCATCATAGACAGCTTCATCAGCGGCATAGGCGGTTTCATCGCCCCATTCAGAATCTTCGGCGAAGTGAACTCGATCTTGTCGCCATGGGTGCATTGGGCTTCCTTGATGTCGTCAACCAGGGTTGCCCATCACATGATCTTGGCTCAGTGTCAGATAGAGAGCCTTCTCCACATCGGCCACCTTGGTCTTCACACCCCGGTGGTCTGAACTAACTGGCGCTGTTCTGGTCAGGCCAGCGCGTCTCATCAAAAGCCAACCTGCCACCTCATCGGGGATGACAATCTGATATTTGGTCAAATCTCGCAAGGCCTGGGCTGCCTCGGTGCAGTAGGTCAGCATGGTAGGTCAGCATGTTTTGACCTTGCTGTCAGCTAGTCTTGTAAACGTATTTCGCAAACGCCTCAGGCATCTCTATCTTCTCATCATACTGCCATTGTTTGTCTAGACATTCCAAAATGGTCTTCAGACCGGTCTCCTTCTCAAGCTCTGCTACCCTGGGCATCGACTATTGATTCTAATCAATATTCTCGAAATGGATCAATATTTTTCGTTTTCTAAAAATATTGATTTCTGTATTGATTTCGCTATTGATTTGGGTATTGATTCTGAAACTGCCAAATTTGATCAAATTTGATCAAGTTTGATCAAATTGCACTTTCTTTCGTTTGTGCAATGCTTATTGATTTTCCACACATTTCCTTGCTGGTTTTCTATTGAAAAAGCCAGGCTCGAAATCAATAAAAATTATTGATTTTTGTTTGAGAATATTGATTAGAATCAATAGGTGATGCCCAGGGTAAGTCTAGATCTTCACATTGTCGCCAGCTCGCTCCAGTGAGCGTGGAAAGCACGTTCAGCCCAGTCTCTTTCGATCTACCCTGCATGTCCATGCGACGACCATACAGCATCACTCGTTTTCTCCATTCCTTGCAATTGGCTGTGGTCTTGTCAAATTTCGGAATGTATATAGTTGTCCTTCAGGACACCAGACTCCTGAGAGGAGCTTCCCTGGGCAGTGCTTCCTTCCATAGCGCAGGCAACAGTTGGAGCTAGGCCCCGCTACCAATATGAAGATGTCACTAGTGCGAACACAAGATGACAAGTTGGAAAGACCTAAGTCAATGTCCAAATGAATGCTGGTGCATGCACAACTGCGAACAGCTGTCGGTTTTCCTTAGTGCTGCAGGTAAGGGCTCAAGGGCCCTAACGGCAACGGAAAGACCACAGATTGTGGCACAATCTTACCAGTAACCATGACCTCGAACTGTTAGTCATTGAGACAATATGCGCGCGAAGTTCCATGAAATTCCGTAAGTTTTCATCTCCTTATCATATAATTAATTAGTCTTGAGGTAGCCGCTCTCATCCGACACCAAATTCGTAGTTTTTTTAGCCACCTATTTCCTTAAAATGATCAAGCCAACTCCACGTTCTCATATCCGCTCATACACTACACTGTCTTCTTGAGTGACACCTATTACATCCTTAGAGTCTATATAATTAACCAATAATTACCTGCTGAGGCTATGTACTGGTACTACTACATAAGTCGCACAATTACGGACTATATCACTTAGCTATCTCTGACCTAATCCGCACATTCGCATGCTCAACTTATATAACTTAGGTTTCTCCCCCTGTCACATCTTGGAAGCAGATGAGCAGGGGCTCAATCCCCCCACCTCCTCCTACCCCGGATCCACACAATCCACGCCACCACCCAACCTATTCCACCAAGTCACTCCACGAAAGCATGCATATATATATATATAACTCAACCTCTCTCACTCCACCTTGCCGATGCTTAGCTTTCGTTCACGAACCCATGGGACTCAAGTTGTGTCATGTCCTCCGGATTTCTCCCGGTTAGTACTGGTATGTTGCCTGGCTCGCTAAGTTTTGATTCTGACCTGTGTCAATAGGCCGCAGTAAGTCCAACAAACAAATTAGCTCTGCTCTGTGGTGCCAAAGGTGACCACTGGCGGCCCAAATCCTGACTTCATTGCCGCAGAAGCTTGGCAGAAGATACCCTGGTGGGGACAGCTAGCCTTGCTGCTGGTAAAGGAGGCAGGCTGCGGGTAAGAGTGGCAGATCCAATCAATTTGCGCAACTCTCTCAGTCAATGGCAGGTGAAGCAGCCAGGTTCGTCTGTAGCTGACTGGATTAGGAGCTTTCCAAAAGAATTCTCGGACGCTCGGCCAGCACGGAGCCAACACATGGCCCATCGGCAATTCACCCTGCTGTGAGTTACTAGTATTTGCGATCATGAGAGGTGACAGATGACACCTGAAGCAGTAGGCAGACAAGCACGACACAGACCCAAAGTAACCTGCGACTTACAGAGTTGCTCCAACCAAGTATTGGTAAACAATGGCCTCACGGGGGTACATCATTGATTTTACATCCTTATTTATGTAATTATATACCCAGTTTACACTGATTTAAGGAGTTTCTGTGACTTTGCAAAATGGTCTTCCATTTTGCAGTGCCAGCTTCTTCAGTTCACTGAACTTGCGAATCGTTCAGGAGATCCCTATGAACTGGAGCAGCGAAGAGCTTGCATTGTTGGAATATCCTCCTCTACTTCGGCAGACACTTGCAATCCCGCGTCATATGATGTGCTTATCTACCGAAGAGCTTCAAGTTTGGATTGCTCAGTTTGCTTTGAAGCAAGCATTTGGAACTCCAGCGTTTGCATTTTGGCTTGGTGCTTTAGCCGCAAAATTTTGCCATCCTACAAGGATCGACAAGCAACAGGCAGAAATCTCTGCCGCTTTTCTTGAAGCTTCAAAGGGATGCAAGATCTCCTTCACTCAGGCGCAGCAGGTTTCTTGCAGTTCCTTGTGAAACTGATGTAGAGCTCCCTAACCTGCCTACCAGGACAAGTAGGGGCTTACGACAGAAAACTTGAGAATTAACAGAATTAACAAAATTCACAGAATTGAGTTCTTTGCAAATCTTTAGTATGTCTTTGTGTTTGGATCACTGCAATCACCTTCCCGTCACCCTCCCGTCACCTTCCTGTCACCTGCCCGTCTCCAGGCAGAATTCACGTGGGCGGTGCAACTGGTGCGAAGCCGAGCCTTCACAGGGCCATATGAGGGCCGTGGACCCCAGGACCTCCCTGACCTCCCCAGACCTCGGCAATCTTTGAATCGGACATTTGTTGCTTCTGTCCCAGGACCGTGCAGCGCAGTTGGCTTTCATCAGCGTTCTGCCTCATGGATGAAACCAGGGAATGTGCCAATTTTGGTCAATTTCGGCCCAAGAGGCCAAAATCAAATCAAATTAGATGATTTAGATGACAGTCCTTTTGAACTCCAATATTTTGCCCCCAAAATGAAACGAGACGTGATCCCCGAGGCTGGTGCTGAGCGTGGGTGGCGGTTTTGTGTCATTGGAGAATGGCCTCAACGGTGCATTGGCAGCTGCATTGGCCATTCCTTTGACAGACCCACGGCTGAGATTGGGGAGCTGGTTCACCTGTGGTTCTCACCTGTGGTTCACCTGTTTCATGCATTTTTCATCATTTTCCATCATTTTCTGATGACTTACATGACATTGTGAGCTATGGTTGAAGAAGTCCAGTCTCTTCAAACGCACGGTGAGAATGTACACTGCTTGGTACTGCATGGTCACTTTGAGGACTTCTTAGTGGGACAGAGCCTTGGAGGCACACATGGTCACCGACTGGACTGACTGGACTTGTGTCCTACCGGGAACTCAATCGAAAAGACCACAAGTTCAGGAACTGACAAGCATTCTCTTGAGAGAATCCCGGGCTGAATCTCACGATTTCAAAGTAAAATGCTGAATCCTTCAGGTTATCAATGAACATCGTCAGACCAATCTATTCATGAAGATAATAGCAAATCATGTGACTGTTTCTTTTGCGGATGTTCTGGCTCGTTTGTTTCGTTTCGCTGGACTGACTCTGACAGACCATGGGCACTTGGCCTTCGAGCTCCGAGGACTTCCACATTGAAGCGACATGTCTTGTGTCCTGTCGTGGACTACCTGAACCACGCGCTTTGCTTGACAATATGGGATTTCCAGAACTATATGAAATTTGTGCGGCATCAGGTCTTTCTTTGATCGCAAAATCAACCGACAGTGGACGAAATGTCTGATGCTAGCTCTGCCTGCATCTCAAAAGCAAGTCAAAGGTGTTGTCTACATATTGATATGTGTTTAAGTATATATTACAATTTGTATGTATATATATAATCTATAATTATATATATATATATATAGATAGTTCTGATATGTCACGTGAAAAAGCCGTAGGGCATCCCTCTAGCTGGTCTTTCCAGTTGTGAAGAACTCATTTTGGCATTGCCACCTTTACTTTTGGCTCAAGCACTGCGTCAAAAGTCACTTGCCGTTGTTGCTTGCGTTTGGTGTCGTAACCCCCTACTTGGCTGTTGTAGGTGGGTTTAACGGGTTAACAGCCTCAGCCTAGGCCACCAATTGGCCATCCATATTTGCTAGCTCTAGGACTTGATCCCCCTATTGTTCTGTGAAACTTTTACCATCTTTTACCCAGTACCAAAAACGAGTTGAAGGTCCGTGGTATTTGAACTTGACATTCCAGTGTGAACCCATTGCACGCTCAGGCCATATGTGCTCACAGCTTGCAATCACTGCCGTTTGAACCTCCAAAGGACAGGCGGTATAAATAACTGGTGCGGGGCGTTCGCTGTCCAGGGCAACACCGCACGGGTAAAGGATAGTATCCACCTTCAATATTTGTAATCCTGTGTGTTGCATAGGCTTCAATAATAATAATTGCTGGTCCCTGAAGCATACTTGCAATTTCGCTTGTGCATCTGTCATTGACCACACATAATTCATTGCTGTGTCGGGGGGTTGCTGCCTAGCAACACCGACGTACTAAATTCCATAATCTAGCCGAGAAAGGGTAAGTAGACCTCGCTTGATCTTTGAAGGACCTTATCCACTTGTCCTGTGAATTTGTATTGCATCAGACCATCCAAAGGATTGTTGCTTTTGTGTTTTTCGTGTCCCTGAAACATACGCGAATAGCAAAAGTATTTGTCAAACGAGTTGCATTCAGTCCGCTAATAACAGCATTTTTCCGATCAAGCCAGGATTGCACTAGAAGCCCAATAGCAGAGTCGCGGCGCTGTTGCATGCCAAGAAGGGGACGTCGACGTCAGAGGTCCAGGTCTCCGATCCCGATTGACTCAGGCAGGGTCGTGCTGCATCGGCATCGCAAGGTCCAGGGCCGAACAGAGGGCCGGAATACAGTGGCGTTGAATATCTTTCAGTGCGAACGAAATCCGGGCGAATATCTTCATCCGCAGGAGGAGACAGCCATTGCTCCAGAGGTTTGAAGAGGAGGAGGAGGAGATCGATTAAGTGGTGGGTGACTCTGTGTGTGCTTCGTCTGAATCAGATCATCAGAATCCACCTACTAGTGCGCCGTCAACAGTTGTTTTTGTCCCAAGACCACGGTGTATCAGCCTACAGCTCCAAGATCTCGATCGTTTGCGGGTGTTTGTGTGACATCGGCCAATCCATTGTTGCAACCAAGACCAACTTCTGCACAACGTGTCCACCCAATGGGAATTGAGATCGTCCCACATCCAAGGGTTCAATACACAGATCGAAGGTTGATCAGTGTAGATGAGGATGGATTCGGTACTGGCCGTCCCGTTGTCCCGTTGTCCCGTTCCCGTTGTCCCGTTTCCCGTTCCTGTTGCCCGTTTCCCGTTTCCTGTTGGAGAGCTGCAGCTGTGGGAAAATCTTTGTTTTCCGCTACCATTTTAGCTGCTTCCATGTGGAATTTCAGTGACCTTTTCGCAGGAAATGATGGTCAAAGATCAACAACTGTGGTAAAACTGCGATTTTGAAGCGTGTAAAAGCTGCTCCGTGTAACAGTTTCTCTGTGTATTTTTTTTTGTGCGCCAATGCGGCTCTGTGTATAGGTTTCTTTGTGCAAAAGCCTCTCCGCACAAAAGTTTCTGTGTGTAAAAGCATCTGTGCGTAGGAGGTTCTCTTTGTAAAACCTTCTTTGTGTAAACCAGGCGTCTGTGTGTAAAGTTTCTCTGTGTAAAAAGGCATCTGTGCGTAAAGGCATCTGCGTTTGTGTGTGTGAACCATCTGAAAAGATGTGAAACTTCTACGGCTCTTTTTATCCTCTAGGTGCTGCTTTCATTGCTTTAATTTTCTGATTTCCTTTCAAGCAGGGGGCACAGGCCCATTGTGGATACCTGTGCCAACGAAGCTATTCCACAATGGGGGAAGCGGAGATTGATCACCTCCGTGTACCTGCAAATTTCCAATTTATCGTCAATGGCAACCGGCTAAGCCAAGAACCGGCATGTCGTTTTTCAAACAGTTCCAACCAAACTTTCAGTTTTCCATTCGATGTCACTTCACTGCCTGCACGGTTTTCGCAATCTGTTCGGAGAGAACCATTTCGAATTTTCTCGCCTCTGGTCATCAACCAACCCCTGTCAGGTTTAATTGGAGTGTTTTTGCACGTAGGATGCATTCCACATCAAAATTCGCAATGACTGTTCTGAGCAAGTGTGTAAAAGCGTCTCTCTGTAAAAACCTCTGTGTGCATCTATATGAAAGGTTTTGTGCGTACAGGCGTCTATGTGCGAGGGTTTGTCTGTGTAGAAGTTTCTGCCTGCAAAAGTTTCTCAGTGCAAGAGCTGCTCTGTGTAGAGTCCTCTGTGTGGTCAAGTGTCGTGTGTAGAAGCCGCTTTGTGTCAAATCATCTGAGTGTAAAAGCTGCTCCGTGTAAAGGCTTCTCGCGTAAGCTTCTGTGTGTGAGAAAGCTGTTCTGTGCAATGAAGCCTCTCTGTGTAAAGGCTTCTTTGTGTAAAAGCTTCTGTGTGTAAGAGTTTCTCTGTATACAAGTTTCACTGTGCAAAAGTTTGCTCTGCGAAGAGGTGTTCTCTGCGTAAAGGTTTTTTGTGTAACTATTTCTGTGTGTAAAAGCACATTAATCACCAATCACCAATCATCATTCATCAATCATCAATCACCGTTCATCAACCATCACCATTCATCAAACATCACCATCATCATCATCATCATCATCCCCATCCTCACCATCAACCTCATCATCATCATCATCATCATCACCACCATCATCACCATCAACATCACCATCATCACCATCATCACCATCATCACCATCATCATCATAACAGTTCATTATCAAAATTCATCATCATCACCGTCATCATCATCATCATCATCATCATCACCATCAATCATCGTCAGCAGCATCATCATCTTCATCCTCATCGTCACCCTCATCAACGTTGTCATCGCCATCATCGTCATTGTCGTCGTCATGGCCATCATCCCCATCATCCTCATCATTCATCATTATTCTTTTATCTTTCGTCTATCAATCAGTCACCATTTATCATTCAAGACCGTCACTCATCACCACAATCATAAGAAGAATAAACGACGTCATCAGCAGCAGCAACATCACCATCACCAACACCAGAGTTGTTCATCACTCATCATGCATAACGCATGATTACGCAGTACTAGTAGTCACCATTCACTATTCATCATTCACCACTGTCATTAGAATCATCATCATCTTCTTCATCTTCATCTTCATCTTCATTGTCATCATCATCGACATAGTCATCGTCATCGTCATCGTCGTCATCGTCATCATCGCCATCATCGTCATCTTTTTAATTTGCCTTTCATCTTTCATCTTTCATTTTTGTCCACCCATAATTGATCGTTTTTAACCGCCATTCAGCACCACAACCATAAGAATATTCAACGTCATCATCAGCAGCAGAACCATCGCCATCACCATCACCATCATCATCGTTCATTGTTCATCACTCATCATGCAAAATGCATCATTCATCATTTAACATTGTCGTCGTCATCATGATCATTTTATTTTTCTTCTTCATCATCATCATCATCACCATCATCATCACCATCGTCATTGCCATTGCCGTTATCACCATCAGCACCATCACCGTCACGACCGTTTTCAGTGTGACAAATGATGGATGTTTGGGTTTCCAAATCAAACTTCTGTTTGGTAGTTCGCCCTTCAATTTTCGTGTGGATGTATGTTGAGTGTTGACAAGACATACCCCACATATATATATATATATAATCCTCCTTGGAATTATCTCTATAGAATACAGAACCTGGGCATACGATTCTATAGAGATGAAGTTGGTAGGCCAGTTTCTACTATAGAATGGTACCTGGATTGCGCCCATCCAGTTTTGGGAAAAAAACGTATCCAAAAATGATACCAAACTTGAGACATTGCAAACCCAGTTTTCTATTCTATAGGGGGTCTTTTTCCTAATCACTTGGACTAAGTTTTCATTTTATAGTGGATTATTTGTTAGAAGCAGTGGCCAGTATGAGGCTGGGCTTTCATTTTATAGGAGTGGCAAAATCTTGCAGATGCCCTTTTGGGATTCACTGGGATAACAATTGGAAAGCCTTGACACAGATCTGATACATTTTGGTACATCTAGGCAATTCTAGGTACTGGCCTAAGCATCCCTGGGATACCCTGGGCAAATGTCAGAGTGCTGCCTATTTTTTTACCAGTTCCTGTGCAGTCAGTCAGGAATTCATTCTATAGGGATGGCATTTGGTAGATTTCACGCCTCTCCACATGGAAACCCATTCTATAGGATCAACATGTCCCCCACCTTTTGCTGCGTTTCTCAAGAATTTTGAAAGAATTGGGTGAAATTGGCATGACCTTTCATGAACTCGTTGCTGGCTTGGACGCCGGCTCCGGCTTCACAGACGCTGACGACCCAGGAGCTGCAGCCGGTGCAGGGAGAGCCTCAGATCAGCACGCTGTGAACAGATTTCATTCATCTTCACCCTATTTCTGGAAAAACACATGAAAACCTGACAGAATCCTGCAGATGCCTTTGGGATCCTTTGGGGTCCCCCTAGGATAACACTTGAAAAGAATTGACGCAGATCTGGTAGATCTAGACAATTCTAGGTACTGGCCTAAGCATCCCTGGGATACCCTGGGCACATGTCAGAGTGCTGCCTATTCTTTACCAGTTCCTCCGAAGTCAGTCAGGAATTCATTCTATAGGGATGACATTTGGTTTTTTTTGATGCCTCTCCACATGGAAACCCATTCTATAGGATCAACATGTCCCCCACCTTTTGCTGCGTTTGTCAAGAAATCTCATAGAATTGGATGAAATTGGCATGACCTTTCATGAACTCGTTGCTGGCTTGGACGCCGGCTCCGGCTTCACAGACGCTGACGACCCAGGAGCTGCAGCCGGTGCACGGAGAGCCTCAGATCAGCACGCTGTGAACAGATTTCATTCATCTTCACCCTATTTCTGGAAAAACACATGCATATTCATACCTTTATGTCGTGTTTAATGCCTATAAAATGAAAACCTGACAGAATCCTGCAGATGCCTTTGGGATCCTTTGGGGTCCCCCTAGGGTAACACTTGAAAAGAATTGACGCAGATCTGGTAGATCTAGGCAATTCTAGGTACTGGCCTAAGCATCCCTGGGATACCCTGGGCACATGTCAGAGTGCTGCCTATTCTTTACCAGTTCCTGCGAAGTCAGTCAGGAATTCATTCTATAGGGATAGCATTTGGTGGTTTTCATGCCTCTCCACATGGAAACCCATTCTATAGGATCAACATTTCCCCCAGCTTTGCTGAATGTCTCATGAAATCCCATTGACTTGGGTGGAATTGGCACGGCCTATCATGAACTCGTTACCCTTCAGCCACTCGGCATCTAGCAGAAGAGACCAAACGTTGCTGAATCATGGTGCTTGAATAATCTTAAAGATACTTGATCTTTATCCATGATTCAGCCACGATGCCGAGTGGCTGAAGGGTAGTGAGTTCATGATGGGCCGTGCCAATTCCACCCAACTCAATGGGATTTCATGAGACATTCAGCAAAAGCTGGGGGAAATGTTGATCCTATAGAATGGGTTTCCATGTGGAGAGGCATGAAAACCACCAAATGCCATCCCTATAGAATGAATTCCTGAGTGACTGCGCAGGAACTGGTAAAAAATAGGCAGCACTCTGACATGTGCCCAGGGTATCCCAGGGATGCTTAGGCCAGTACCTAGAATTGCCTAGATCTACCAGATCTGCGTCAATTCTTTTCAAGTGTTATCCTAGGGGGACCCCAAAGGATCCCAAAGGCATCTGCAGGATTCTGTCAGGTTTTCATTTTATAGGCATTAAACACGACATAAAGGCATGAATTCATGTGTTTTTCCAGAAATAGGGTGAAGATGAATGAAATCTGTTCACAGCGTGCTGATCTGAGGCTCTCCCTGCACCGGCTGCAGCTCCTGGGTCGTCAGCGTCTGTGAAGCCGGAGCCGGCGTCCAAGCCAGCAACGAGTTCATGAAAGGTCATGCCAATTTCATCCAATTCTATGAGATTTCTTGACAAACGCAGCAAAAGGTGGGGGACATGTTGATCCTATAGAATGGGTTTCCATGTGGAGAGGCGTGAAACCTAGCAAATGCCATCCCTATAGAATGAATTCCTGACTGACTGCACAGGAACTGTATAAACAAATAGGCAGCACTCTGACATGTGCCCAGGGTATCCCAGGGATGCTTAGGCCAGTACCTAGAATACCAGATCTGCGTCAATTCTTTTCAAGTGTTATCCTAGGGGGACCCCAAAGGATCCCAAAGGCATCTGCAGGATTCTGTCAGGTTTTCATTTTATAGGCATTAAACACGACATAAAGGCATGAATATGCATGTGTTTTTCCAGAAATAGGGTGAAGATGAATGAAATCTGTTCACAGCGTGCTGATCTGAGGCTCTCCGTGCACCGGCTGCAGCTCCTGGGTCGTCAGCGTCTGTGAAGCCGGAGCCGGCGTCCAAGCCAGCAACGAGTTCATGAAAGGTCATGCCAATTTCACCCAATTCTTTCAAAATTCTTGAGAAACGCAGCAAAAGGTGGGGGACATGTTGATCCTATAGAATGGGTTTCCATGTGGAGAGGCGTGAAATCTACCAAATGCCATCCCTATAGAATGAATTCCTGACTGACCGCACAAGTAAAAAAATAGGCAGCACTCTGACATTTGCCCAGGGTATCCCAGGGATGCTTAGGCCAGTGCTTAGAATTTCCTAGATGCACCAAAATGTATCAGATCTGTGTCAAGGCTTTCCAATTGTTATCCCAGTGAATCCCCAAAGGGCATCTGCAAGATTCTGTCAGGTTTTCATCATCCTATAAAATGGAAACCCAACCACCCTTCTATAGAATAGTCCCCAAGTATGTTCTTTTGTGGAATGGTTCCAACCCAGATCCAAAAAGTGAAACCAAACTTAAGGCATTGCAAACCCAGTTTTCTATTCTATAGTTTTTTTTTCCTAGTCACTTGGACTAAGTTTTTCATTTTATAGTGGATTATTTGTTAGTAGCAGTGACCAGTATGAGGCTGGGTTTGAATTTTATAAGAGCGGCAGGGGGCTGTTGGCTTGGTAGGGTTTCTATTCTATAGGGAAAATCCACCCCCCTTAGTCCTGGGTTTTCGTTTTAGTCCCTATAGAATCAGACACCCAGGTTTGGTCCGAATTCCAACAGTGATTATATATATATATATATAATCCTCCTTGGAAAAATCTTTATAAAATAGATCACCTGGGGGTACGATTCTATAGAGATGAGGCTGGTAGGCCAGTGTTTACTATAGAATGGTACATGGATTGCGCCCATCCAGTTTACATTCCCAAAAGTGACACCAAACTTGAGGCATTGCAAGCCCAGTTTTCTATTCTATAGGGGGTCTTTTTCCTAATCACTTGGACTCATGTTTTCATTTTATAGTGGATTGTTTGTTAGATTTTGTTACAAGCAGTGGCCAGTATGATTAGCCTCATACTGGCCACCGCTTCTAACAAATAATCCACTATAGAATGAAAACCTGAGTCCAAGTGATTAGGAAACATGCCCCCTGAGTCCACTGACACCCCCCCTTCCACTCCTATGAAATCAAAACCCAGCCTCATACCCACCGCTTCTAACAAATAATCCACTATAGAATGAAAACCTGAGTCCAAGTGATTAGGTGCCCCCTACAGAATAGAACCCGCTATTTCCAAGGCCCAAAATGTGGTTCACGTTTGGGCTAGCACCTTTCAAAAATCCTTGGAAACCATTTTTAGAAGAGTGGTTGGATCTCCATTTTAAAGGAGCAGCCCTGCACAAAACTGATTCATTAACAGTGTTGACCACTTATTCGTTTACAATATGTTTCAATATTTCACAGTATTATTGCCCACTGACACCCCCCCTTCCACTCCTATGAAATCAAAACCCAGCCTCATTCCCACCGCTTCTAACAAATAATCCACTATAGAATGAAAACCTGAGTCCAAGTGATTAGGTGCCCCCTACAGAATAGAACCCGCTATTTCCAAGGCCCAAAGTTTGGTTTCACGTTTGGATTTGGGCTGGCACCTTTCAAGCTAAAATCTTGGGAACATTTTTTTAGAAAAGTGGTTGGATCTCCATTTTAAAGGAGCAGCCCTGCAGAAAACTGATTCGTTAACAGTGTTGATTACTTATTCGTTTACAGTAAGTTTCAATATTTTACCGTATCACACAATATTTACAATATTATTGCCCACTGACACCTCCCCGCCCCTTCCACTCCTATAAAATGAAAACCCAGGCACATACCCACCGCTTCTAACAAATAATCCACTATAGAATGAAAACCTGAGTCCAAGTGATTAGGTGCCCCCTATAGAATAGAAACCGCTATTTCCAAGGCCCAAAATGTGGTTCACGTTTGGGCTGGCACCTTTCAAGCAAAAAATCCTTGGGAATCATTTTTAGAAGAGTGGTTGGATCTCCATTTTAAAGGAGCAGCCCTGCACAAAACTGATTCATTAACAGTGTTGATTACTTATTCGTTTGCAGTATGTGTCAATATTTTACAGTATCATACAGTATTTACTACCCACTGACACCTCCCCTTCCACTCCTATAAAATAAAAACCCAGCCTCATACTGGCCACCGCTTCTAACAAATAATCCACTATAGAATGGAAAACCGGGTCCCAGTGATTAGGAAACATGCCCCCTACAGAATAGAACCTGCTATTTCCAAGGCCCAAAATGTGGTTCACGTTTGGGCTGGCACCTTTCAAGACAAGAAATCTTGGGGGCCATTTTTTGGAAGTGGTGTTGGATTTCCATTTTGTAGGAGCAGCCCTGCAGAAAACTGATTCGTTAACAGTGTTGATTACTTATTCGTGTACAGTAAGTTTCAATATTTTACAGTATCACACAATATTTACAATATTATTGCCCACTGACACCTCCCCTTCCACTCCTATAAAATGAAAACCCAGCCACATACCCACCGCTTCTAACAAATAATCCACTATAGAATGAAAACCTGGGTCCAAGTGATTAGGTGCCCCCTATAGAATAGAAACCGCTATTTCCAAGGCCCAGAATGTGGTTCACGTTTGGGCTGGCACCTTTCAAGCAACAAAATCCTTGGGAACCATTTTTAGAAGAGTGGCTGGATTTCCATTTTATAGTAAAACACTGAGTCCCAGTCCCAGTGATCATGAAAAAGACCCCCTACTGAATAGAAAATGCTTTTTCCAAGGCCCAAAGTTTGGTTTCACGTTTGGATTTGGGCTGGCACCTTTCAAGCTAAAATCTTGGGAACATTTTTTTTAGAAAAGTGGTTGGATCTCCATTTTAAAGGAGCAGCCCTGCAGAAAACTGATTCGTTAACAGTGTTGATTACTTATTCGTTTGCAGTATGTGTCAATATTTTAGAGTATCACACAATATTTACAATATTATTGCCCACTGACACCTCCCCTTCCACTCCTATAAAATGAAAACCCAGCCACATACCCACCGCTTCTAACAAATAATCCACTATAGAATGAAAACCTGAGTCCAAGTGATTATAAAATGGAAATCCAACCCCACTCTATAAAATAGTCACCAAGTAGATTCTTTTGTGGAATGGTGCCAGCCCAGATCCAAAAAATGACACCAAACTTGAGGCATTGCAAACCCAGTTTTCTATTCTATAGGGGTCTTTTTCCTAGTCACTTGGACTCAGGTTTTCATTTTATAGTGGATTATCTGTTAGAAGCAGTGGCCAGTATGATGCTGGGTTTTCATTTTATAGGAGTGGCAGGGTGTTGTTGGTTTTCTTGTGTTTCTATTCTATAGGGAAAATCCCCCCCTTCAACCTGGGTTTGCGTTTTAGTCCCTATAGAATGGAACCCCCAGGTTTGGCTCGAATTCCAACAGGGATTATATATACATATATGCATAAATATATATATATATATATATACAAATATAATAATATATAAATACACATATATATAATAATATATAAATATATATATATACAAATATAATAATATATAAATACACATATATAATAATATCTAAATAAATATTTATATATATATACATGTTTAAAAATATATGTATATATCTTTTATTACATATATATTATTTACATATACATTATATACATATATATAATTACAAATATGTATATATATATATATTAGTATTATTTATTATATATTTATTTATACATAAATGAGCCCCAGGTCATTTGTCATTCACCACCCTTGCCACGGCCAGGTGCTCCTTTCAAGCGGCGCAGGCTCAATGAGCCTGACAGTGCGCTTGCTCGAGAGATGCTCTGGGATGTCTCCAGAGGGGATAATTCCAATTCGTTTGGCATTTTTCTGTTGATTTCTGTGTCCTTATAATCTTATATATGTTTTACTCTTGGGGGTTTGGATGAATCCTGATAATTTTTCATTGTGAAATTGTGCTGAATCTCCGATGTTCAAGATCCCAGGAGTTGCATGTCAATGCCATGCAACGTTATTCCCATGCGGCGCTACAAGATGGCTTGGATATTCCCACTATCAAGACTTTAGCATCGCTGGCATGTTGGGGGAAGCACGAGTCCAACGCTGAAAGAGACTTTCACAGGGTGATTCCTTTCCTTTACGGTTGCCAATTCACTACTTACAACACCTGTATTGAGGTTTGCAACAGTGATGAAGCGAAGGTTGAACCCATCCAGGTACCGGTCCTCTTGGCCTCTGATGTTTTACATGAGCTTTGGGAAAAAGGGGACCCAAAGTTGTGGGACACTTGCATAGGGGCTACTGCCGAGAAAACTTCTGCATTTTGGTCGGCTTTCAGAACGGATCCTGCCTCCCAGTCGTGGAAGCATCCAGTGTTCGAGCCAGCTAGCAGAAAGGAGATGGTTTTCCCAAAAGCTCTCATGTAAAATCAATATGTTTTAATTTTGGTGCTTTCTGTTTTAAAGCAGGGGAAAACCAATCAAAGTAGCTATGAGATCTATGAGAAAACCATCTCCCTGCAAGCTGTCTGCAATCCGAGGTCAGGCCTTGAGGCCAAAGCATTCCCAGTGGCTTGGTACTGGGAAGACCAGAGGGATTCAAAACAAACTTGTTTTTAAAGCAAAATCATATTTGTTTTTGTTTATTGTTAATATGGTTGGTTCCCAGAAAAAACAATGTAAATCTGATGGTGGTTGTTGCGGTATGGTCAAATTGTGGTCATAACACCATGTCTCACAAGTGAGGTGAAATGGTTTACTGATGGGGCAGAATTCAACACTGGCCATGAACTATTGATTTGGTTATGGTCCAGCACCATGGCTCAGACAAACTACAGCACAAAGTATCCCTTCGCTGCTATTCCAATGAGATGGTTGCCAACAAAAGAGTTACGATCCAAAGCCAACCGGGCTGTTGTTCAGGCATGGGATAGCACCTTGACATTCAACCCACTGCCAATGAGTTCATGTAATCTTCCTTATTTCATTCAAATGTGGCTAGAAAAAAAACAACCAAATGTCAGGGGATCATTTCGATATGTACCACTGTGTTTAAATGCTTTCCCTTAGTTTCTATTCTATTTGTAAGTGGTCTATGTGGCTAACCATGTTCTTCCCCAGGCAAAAGTCTACTTCAAGGCGTTTTTCCATCTGTGGACCAATATGGTGATGAATTGTTGGGGAGCCGTGGGTTGAGAGCCAATAGTCCCATAGCTGGTGGTTGGCGCGGGGCATTTGAAAGCTGGTGTGGGGACTGGAAAGAAAGATCTTTATCACATGCATTCATCCGGAGAAACTACCAGTCCACGACTCTATGCGATCAGTGCGGCCAGTGCGGAGCCATACAGCCTTTCAAACGAACATCACCTCATTTGATGCCTATGATATACACTGATTTTCGATTAGATGCACCCTGGACAACAACTTTGCGGGATCACCAGGCATACCTTGCAGAAACACCACGAGACCAGCAAACACCATGGGTGGATGTACCCGGTTTCGATTTATCGAGGGTTCGATGGGATTCAGCCCATATAATTTTGCTTGGCACTGGGAAAGATGTCGCTGCTAGCTTTCTCGTGGACCTAGTGGCCCGGAAAAAGATGTATTGATTCGGTCAATGATTGAAACCTTTCCCACATTTATATTCTTGGTGGTATGAATTTTCTATTCGAACCCCAATGTATTTGAGAAAGGTTTTGATCCATGACTTCATAATTGTGTTTCTTTATTTGTTTGTGCACTGTCAGCTCATAATCCCGCTGAACCTTGTCTCCCTGCCAAACAAGCCACATGCAGGTGGAACTTCCGATTCTGCAAGGCCTCAGAACGAAGGGCGTTCAGAGATTGGAGACTCTTGGAAATGGGAATCTGCTGATTCCTATTCTGGGAAATCAGGATGCTCGTGGCAACGACATCATGAACCAAATTGGAGTTTCATTCAGAAAATGGTGTAGGGAACAAAAACAGGAAACACCGCCATCCACATGGAATCTTCATCTTGTAGGGAGAGGAGACAACGATTCCAAAAATTCATACCCGGTGTTGGACTCGAACGTGAAGGCAGCTCATACCAAGCCTGTCATTCTTTTTGTCATCCCTTGCGACTGAAATCTCCTCTTTGTGCGGGTGTCCCTGGGTTTGAACCATCCAATTTTTTGGCCTTTCTGATTGAATTGGGAAGGTTTTCAATAAATACACATACACATACACATACACATACATGCATGCATGAATATATGTATGTATGTATGCATGTATGTATGCATGTATGTAATGTATGTATGTAATGTATGTATGTGAGTGAGAAAGTAGATAAGAAAGAAAGAACAGAAATGAAAAGAAAAGAAGAGAACAGAAAAGAAAAGAACATAAAATAGAAAACAGAACAGAAAAAAGGAAAGAAAGCCGGATAACAAGAAACAAATAAAGAAAGAAAGTTATGTTATGTTTGTTATGTTATGTTATGTTTGTTATGTTATGTTATGTATGTTTGTGTGAGTGGGTAGGTAGGTAAGTACCTAAGTAAGTACCTAAGTAAGTAGGTAGGTAGGTAAGTAGGTATGTAGGTATGTAGGTATGTAGGTATGTAGCTAGGTAGGTAGGTAGGTAGGTAGGTAGGTAGGTAGGTAGTAGGTAGGTAGGTATATATATATATATATATATGTATGTGCGTGTGTTTTATTTTCATATATATATATATGTATCTATATATAGACATAAATGATATATATATATATATATGCCCTTAAAGGAATCTTATTTCATATATCAACATTTGTATATATTAACTTTGATCATATATTTATGTGGTTGTATTTAAATGTCTTCCACACAAACGAAGCCTTCTCTTTCCCATCATGGAAATTTGGTTTGAACTAGGGTGAGAAAACCTGTTAGGTTCAAGAACATAAAATATACATGCGATCTGATTGCCTGTTTGGTTAGCCGGCCCCAATTATTTGGAACAAACAATCTGAACATATTCCACTGGTCTGCCAAGGTAGATTTTGCAACATGAGGGCTATTGCCCTTTGGGGCACCTGTGGCTTCCTGTGGGTGACAGACCGTCCAGCCCTTAGCTTGGGGGAGGAACTACGGATGCGTGGATTGAATTCTGGCATGAAAGCCTTGACTGCATATGCTTTCCTATCCAAATACAATTTGGACATTGGTCGCATCAACTACAAGATCCGGCCCAAGTGGTAGCCAAGAACATTTTGGCAAATTTTGGTTGACCACTAAATTACCCCAAATGTTTTTTTGATACCAGTGTTTTGCAAAGTAAGGCACTCATGGTGCCAGATGGTTCACCTCCTCAACATGTCCGATGAAAATTGCCGGAATCATAAAACGTTGGCAGAAGAAGATATGCTGGGACATATAACTCGACTTGCAAGCGCTTGTCATGGCGCAACTGTTGTCGTTAGGTTTTTTCAGAGGTTTGGCCTTTTCTTGGCCCTCCACTGGGACAATCTCATCCGAAGACAGGCTGAGATCCCGAGCTAAACCGGGAAGACCATGGCAGCACGGTGTTCGGTAGGCTTGAAAAAGTGAACTGCTGGCATGACCAATCAGAATGGGTCAAAACAATGCACACCATGTTCATTCAATTTTTCTTGTTTTTTGGGTGTTAGGTAAAAAGATTTGGGGTTTGCAAACGCAAATTTTGCAGGTTGTCCTTCATTTGACCCATTTGTGGCGCTATTTCGCTGCCCGGCCAGTGTCATGGCGGCTGAGAGGAAAATGTTCAAACATATTTGAATGGGGTTACGTCGGTATCTGAATTCCAAATTGATACCTTCCAAACATCTCTTTGAAAGAAATCTGTTCTATGTAAAGGTGCGTTTCCTTGGCCAACGTTTTTAAGTATATCTTGCCGATGTTAATTAGGAGTGAAGGAGTGGGTTTGAGGCTGCAAAATCGAAGGGAAAAAGGAAAAAACAAAAATATACTTCACTTCGAATGATCCCCACCATGACATTTATACATTTTCTTACTGGCAAATCTTCTGGCATTCTATCCGACATATCTTCTGGCATATCTTCTGGCATATGTTCTGGCATATCTTCTGGCATTCTATCTGGAATATCTTCCGGCATTCTATCTGGCAAATCTTCTGGCATTCTATCTGGCATATCTTCTGGCATTCTATCTGACATTCTATCTGGTATATCTTCTGACATTTTTTCTGGCATTCTATCTGGCATAACTTCTGACATTCTATCTGACATATCTTCTGACATTCTTTCTGGCATATCTTCTGGCATTCTGTCTGGCATATCTTCTGACAATCTTTCTGACATTCTTTCTGGCATTCTATCTGGCATATCTTCTGACATTCTATCTGACATCTTTTCTGACATTCTTTCCGTTGAGGTCCGGCAGTGCCCACTGCGATCTGGAAGTCGCGGTTGAGGTCCGGCAGTGCCCACTGCGATCTGGAAGTCGCGGTTGAGGTCCGGCAGTGCCCACTGGGATCTGGAGCTCGCGGTTGAGGTCCGGCAGTGCCCACTGGGATCTGGAGCTCGCGGTTGAGGCCCGGCAGTGCCCACTGCGACCTGGAAGTCGCGGTTGAGGTCTGGCAGTGCCCACTGCGATCTGCAACTCGAGGTTGAGGCCCGGCAGTGCCCACTGGGATCTGGACTGCGAGGAGGAGGCGGCGGGTGAGGAGGCGGAGGAGGAGAACAGCTCTGATAAAATCTAACAACTCTCACCTGGCAGGTGGGGAACAAAGAACAAAAATGCATTTATTTTGTTTCCGGCTATTTTTTCTAAAATTGTATGTTTGGGAGGGGGGGCAGGGCGGTCAATAAATTCAGGGACTAGTGCTTGCCCCATGTTTGCACATGATCAGACATGTTATAACTTCTTAGAAGATTTTTTGTGAGTGGCTGCACCCTCACAATCACAGTTTTGAAGCTGTGTAAAATCATTGGTTTGGCATCCCATGTCTTGTTGTGACACAGAAATGAAGCACGCTATCTGTCTGTGCTTTTTTACAAGGAATACTGTGATATTACCACACGTTTTGCATAGTTTTATATAATTTAACAAGTTTTGAAGCCAACACTGTGGAAATACCACACCTTTTGCACTTTTTCGAAGCCAAAACTGTGGTATCACCACGCTTTTTACAGAGTTTCAAAGCCAAAGCTGTGGTATCTCCACATTTTTTACATTTTCCACACAGTTTGAAGCCAAAACTGTCATATGTCTTCATGTCTCGCATACTTGTGAAGCCACAAGTTGATATTACCACACGTTTTGCGCAGTCTGAAACCTAAAACTGCGATATGACCACATGTTTTGCATAGTTTTCGAGTCAACACTATGATATTACCACCAGTTTTTCATAGTTTGGAAATCAAACCTATGATGTTTCTGCATCTTTTGCGTAGTTTTGGAAGCAAAACTGTGAAATTACCACATGTTTTGACATTTTTCTTAAATTTTACATAGGGTGGACCACCATTTTATCATGAATACGCTGTTTTTCCTTCAGTTCTTACACATTTTTGATCCCAATTTACCGACCAGCCCTTCGGTAAATTGGACATTTGCTGTGGTAAGTTGGCTTTTGGCAGCTATTTACATATGGCACAAGCCACGCGGAAAAGAAAAAAACATGGCTTTCATCCCAGTGCTGCACCAACCAAAGGCAAAAGGCCTGGCTGTACCCGCAAGAAAGTGAGCACAAGAAATGTGCACGACGCGCGAAATCCAACGCTCCAGGACGTGGCTGCACCCGTTCAAAGCCATGGAACAAAGGTCTGCACCAAACCAAGACATGCAAGCAACATGTGTGCATACCGAGAGATCAGATCGCATTGTTTCTAGCAGTTGCATTGTATTGGGCAGGTCCCAAATGCGCGTGTGTCCTGTGGTTAACTTTGGTGACCAGCAGACGTATCAGCGAGACACTGTTGCTGCGCGGAACAGACATACGAGTGCAAGGTGGAGAAGAGCACGGCGCAGGACACATCTTGCTCCAGCGGCGGCCGCAGGATGACAGTCTTGGAGGCTCAGGCAAACTGGGCGCAGAAAAAGTGGTAGCAAGACTCTCAAAGGATGCCATGGCTGGGATCCAACAATTGTGTTCTGATGGTTTGGAGCATGAGCTGCATCCAATACTAGAACCCTTCAAGGTGGCTGTACCCCTTATTTTCCAAATGAAACCGTTGAACAAAGATCGCTTTCAACTTGACACAGATTCAGAGAACTTTGTTTTTGCCACAGCGTCCAAGAAACAGGGATGCAGGCCAAATATGTCAAGGCAAAGTGTTTCGGAAGCTCTCAAGGTGATCAGGAAAGTGATGTTTCAAATTACTGGCAACCGCCGGTATAACCCCACAAGTAAATTTCAAGGCAGTAGGGTTACAGTGCACGGAGCTACCCGGCACACGAGCGCTAGCCTCCTTTCGAACAAGCATTCTTATGAGAAAGAGCCTTCCGAACATGTGATTTTAGAAATTCAACAACGCTCCGATGCAAGAGTGTTCTGGAAACATTATTACCACGTTGAAGAAGAACAAGTGGAAGCTGCTTTAGAATATGGCGCTGCGCCAAGTTTGTTTACAAAAGGCCTTCCAGAGGCGCTTCCAACTGAAGCAGCAGTGCCTAAGAATTGGTGCGCAAGGAGTGCGCAAGGCATGCTGTTCTGAAAGGAGGTGTGGTCATGAACGAAGGCTTGCTCGAAGCTGAGTCAGCTTTTTTTACCATTGGATTTTGCAAGCCTGCTGTCAAGAAAAAGATGAAAAAATACACTTCTCTCCAGAGATGTGTGAGAAGAAAAGCAACGCGCACAAATTTTTACAGGATCACTGCAACAGAGGCACAAACTCATGGGAAACTTCTGCATTGACATCGGCACACATGGTGCTGTGTCTGGAATCAGAGAAGAACACTTTTTAAAAAAGGGACGAACTGTCAAAACTGACAGAATTCTTGGACATGTTGTTGTCTAGTCACCGAGATGAGAAGCAGTGCGCAAGGAGTGCTTAGTTTTATAATGATGGTTCAACTCATTGTATCTTAGAGCAGGTTGTGTGAGGAATGATGGTTTATACCTCATTCTTGTTGTGGGGCTTTCATGAATTGTGTGTTGTCCAAAGACGTCAGCACCTTCATTTTCATGACCAGAAACCTTCGGCCTTGGGGACGGTTGAGGGACAGTACTTGGGGAAAAAGTCGTCAGCGCGCTGTGCTTGTCCTGCCAACTCAAAGTGCTCAAACATGACTGTTTCTTTGGTTGGCCTGCAAGCCTCCTAACTGGTAGAACAGGAGTGTGCGACGTTAATTGGGGCGAAAGTATGCCCCATCCTCTTACCACCTCAAAAAAAGATGATTGACACATATCTGACTTTGGGGGTTTGTTCTGTTTTGGGTTGGTTAGATGATGTGCTACATTCTTGAAGTGTTGCAATTAGATCCAACACCTGGCTTGGGTATAAGCTTTGCCTCAGGAAAATGCAGTTGATATTGGGGCCGCTGATACCCTTCCAGTCCCTTGGCAGCAGGTGCAGTCCAATTCATTTGGCATTGGGATGGGCTGAGATATTTTGCTGGACAAACCGAATGCAATTAAATGAAATTCCACCTAATGTTTCTGACAGTTTGATATGTTTCATCTACGAAGCCAGCTCTTTTGAACCCCCCAAAAAGCGAACATGTCTTAGGCTTCTGATAGGTGTGTTTGCTCAACCCTTCTCCCCTTCTCCGCCCTAGGCATCTGAAGCTGAGATTGCAGACTCGATGAGGAAGCGCTCGGCACAGCCTGTGGAACCTCCGGCGAAGCGGACTCGCTGTGTGGAGAAACGGTCAGAGGTGCATGGCGTGACCCATGCGTCCTATGGGGGATAATAAGGGTTGATATGCTCAATATTGATACAACCACTGAACTGGACCTACCAAGGCCCTTGTACAGGGTTATTCGGGTTGATAAATGCAACTTATGGATATAATGAAAACACCTGTCAATACAGCTCTCCTGTGTATATCCGTAATGGTTTGGGATGGTGTGCTATATGTATATGCCATTGGATTCTAACGGGGATGGTATGGAATGGTGTCCATTTTTTAGCTGCTGATATTTATCAATGCATTGTTTACATCCTGCTTGCTGCCCTGGTTTCAAGACCTTGGGGCCTTGGGGCATGTGGCACTAGAAGAAAACAATATCAAAATTATTAACATATTTTCAGGTGGTTGTCCATTTCCATATTTGATTGTGGGATCATCCACCCCGATGTGTTGTATGTCTTCTGATTGAAAAACATAATCACCCTTTTGTCGGCTTACATGGCAGGCCGTCGCAGCGACTGCCACGGCGGCTGTGCCTAAGACGGCTGCCAAGAGCAAGCCATCATCTCCCCCGGGGTTAGCACCAAGCCCTGAGGTTTGATGGTTAAAAACAAACTGTAGTAGTAATATGCAATGGTGTTATCGTTTCCAATAGTGTTTCATTTTGAACCATGAACCAACATAATGTTACAGTTAGATCCCTGAATCGAACTCAGAACCCTGAAGGTGACTACGGCCAACCAAGTTCAGGGGTTGCAAAAGCAGCTAGATGATGCCTTGACCAACTTGAGGCTCATTAACGAGTTGAAGAGCAGGGATGCATCTGGGCCTTCAACACCTCTCAACCGTATCATCCCGAACAAGTCCCCACAGACCTCCGCAGCTGTGCCGAAGGCAACCCCCTCGCCTGGCAGTTCAAGCACAGGGTCAGGTGAAAAGTCCCAGCCGGCTGACCCTTGACCATGTTGAAATATCTTATTTTTGTTTTTATTGGGGGTAGTTGGGGAGCATTATGTTCATTGAGATGTATCTCCCACTACTCTTGGGTATATCCACTTACTCATGTAATCTGCTCCTTACTCGTACAACCATGTGCTTCTAAGGATGCACAAGCCGCACGACTCAGGCGGCTCTGTGAGAAAAAACCATCAGGGCGTTGCCACGTCCGTCAACATATTCACGAACTTTGGATTTGGGTTCAGGGTGGAACCAAGAGGGACGAACTGCAGGCCATGTTCACAGAGGTTGGTGAAAACAAGGACACCCTGAACAACATTACCAAACCATCCAAACCAATGTTAATGTTTAAATTTCAACATCCATACATACAGTATCCCAAGGGGCCATGTTCATTAACACTGTGACCAAGACGTTGGAGCGCAAGAACTCGAAGGAGCAGGAAGTGCAATCGGGCTGGTTCACCCCAGAAGAGATGGCTCACACTTTTGGGCTGGTCAAGGAACCTAGTTTGGGATAGTGTCTCATTTCTTGGTGTCCCATATTGAAAGGACCGTTTGTGCACAAATAGCTTTACAACAAAACATTTGATACACTAAGCATAATTTGGGTTGGTCACTCCAGACCCAAGGAAATACATCAATGATGTCATCGCCTTCTGCAAGAAAAGGCGGAACTTGTTGAAGAGTCTTAGCTCGGCTCATCCTGCGCTGCAGCAAAGATATGTCAAGCACATTGAAGATATATACATGCAATTTTCCATTTACTATTCCATATTTTAGTTAGCGTGTGGCCCAGGAAGGACAAGTATTCCGACAAGATGGACCGCTACTATGTTGACTTCAAAGGCCAATCGTCCCAAAGAAACTCTGTTACAGAGACTGAGACACACAAGTCGCGAGCCAATGTTCAGGGCTCAGGGTGGTGTGCCACATACAATACATGTGCACATTGTAATGGTGTTTGATCCCACCCTCATCCCAAATGACCTGGCTCAAATATATATATAATATATATATATATATAAAGCGGCGTATTGCTTTTTGGTTTCATTTGACGGCCCCATACCATATTATGTTTAAGGTCCGTGGCAGTGCCGAACTTGAGCTTCGTGGGGACTTCCTTCCTTTGGGATTCTTGGCAGTTAAGCCCGATGAGGAGGAAGAGCAGGTTGAAGATATGTCTTCGTTGGATGCAGCAGCTCGTTAGCAACACTTTCGTCTATGGGATTTTTTAGCATCTTATAAGAAATAACCTTAAGGGAGATTGAGCCTACCATGTAACTGTATCGTAGTGTTCTTCAACTGATGCAACCATTTTTTCTGAGGCTAAGAAAAAAGAAAAGACCTTTGAAGAAAACATGTTGAAGAAGCTGTCCAAAATGACAGACCTGATGTCTCGCCTCGATGCTTTGACTTCCAGCCCAGATTGCCGCGTCAGCAAGTGCCTTGGCCAAACTCCATTGGTTATCCCATGAAATTGGGTGGCTCCATCCCTCCTTACTAAAAATGGGTATGGTTGCACCTTCATTCCTCCCGGAAAAAGGTGCATCAAGAACGTGGAGACCAAGATGGAGTCTGCCCAGAAGGTATTTGATAAGTTCAGCGCTTTGAGGGTTGAGCTGGAGAGCTTGGATACCCGGTCTGATGAGTATCCCGGCATCTAATTTCCATTACTAACTCATTTTAGGAAAACACCAGAGTATATGTGCCATGTGCATGCATGCACTCTTGTGTATCACGGCTACGGCCTATATTCAATGGAACTAACCTCTCATGTAGCATGCATCTGTTGCATGTGGGGGTGCCCCATGGTATACCTTAAAACAGCGCAAGCCCAGAAGCTCGCCTGCATTTCCAGGTTGGGTTGGTGCCACGTGGGGCTGAAAGTAAGGGTTGAAGTTGCTATTGCAAATGCCAAACATTACATGTAAACCATCTAGTAAGACATTCTAGTACATGTTTCCATTATATCCACACATGAATTCTGAATATATGAAAAAGCATTCCTTTTCTACAAAATCGTTCCATGAGTTCCAACAGCTCAGGTCTTTGGAGAAAGCGTCGACGAAACAGGCCAAAGCAAAGGCTGAAGCTGATGGTGGAGCTTGAGCTGGGTTCTACAAGCGGCTGGGGCACATTGTGCATCAGCTACTGAACATATGTTTGAATGCGGTTCCATGTAGTTGATGTGACGGGGTTTACGGTGCAATATTTGCATCCCAATTTGCTTTTGCCCTCACGCAAGAGGGTGCACACATTCTGGAATTCTTGCAGCAATCCAGACTTTACAGACTAGCGTTATCATGGGCGCTGTCTTGTGTCGGATGTCTAACTTGCTGGGAAGCGATGTCCAGCAAGGCTATAGATGTGATCTGTGTCCCGCAACAAAAGCGCCCTGTGTCCAATGATTTGAGTCCTTTGGGGTTTAACCCTCACTCCTGGCCTCCTGCTGCACGCCGCATGCCAGGCTATGGTGGGAGGGAACCTGAGCTTGATGGTCTAGCCCACATGGTGAGCAAGGGAGCCGGGATCTTGGTTCCAAAGCAATGCTACAGTTTGTCGAACAGTGGAACCATACACCCTTTGTTTTCAACGATGGCAACTCTTGGGTTTAAATTTAAGTGCGTGTCACGCTTACTAAAGCCATTTCAGCTCCATAGATGTGACTTTAGCTTGGTCCATGGTTCATACTGCCAGCTGCAATGGCCACTGGTGTGAAACGGAAAGCCAGTTTCTGCATGGAGGACCCTGAAGATGAATTGATAGATCTATTAACCTATGACTGCCCCATCACTGGGAAGAAACGGTGTCCCCCTTGCCTGCAACTCGGTAGCAAACCAGTGGCTTACATGGCTACATGTGAGAAATATGACCGGTTAAGTGTTGATTAGTCCAGTGGGAAAGGATTTCATACCTAACAATATTTGATAGGAACCCCACATAAGCCCACCTATCTTTGGAATGGCCGCTGAGGCCTGTTATTTCAACCAGCCGTCCATTAAAACATTGTACATTGTCTTGATCTCAGGCAGTGGACGTCAATCGATGTGGCCAAAGCCGCCATTGCGTCAGTGAGAAGGATCCTTTGAGCTTGGGGAGTCCTGAATATTGGAGGAATTTGTATGCCCAATGCATAACTTTGAAAGAAAAAGAACAATTGTTTTCAACTTTTGGGTTGAACAAAATGTATGCAGATGAACCGAATCGGTCAAGAGCAACGGCAGGAACTGTCTTGCAACGGTGTCTCACCAATGTTGAGCGGTTTAGAAACCAAATGAACAAGCGTCTTTGTGTTTACAAGCTGGGTATGACCACCAACCCTTTGCTTCGCTTTCATTTCTATTCGCGTGGAAATTATTCCAAAATGAGCTTGCTCCATGTTACAACTGATACGGGTGTGGCTCAAATGCTGGAAGCTGCATTGATTGCACTGCACATCTCTGAAAGGGAATGTCGCAATGAACGGTTTGGTGGTGATGGCCCTAGCACTTCTCATCATGATGGCCCCCATTTTGTGTATATTGTAGGTGCCAGGGCTGATGGGAACAAACCGATTTCCTAAAAATCACAATGACTTATATAACGTTGTTTTTACCACATATATGTACTATTTCTTCTAAATCAAGGTAGGTCCGAAGGAAACTTCCGCCATTTGGAAATCGTGTTGAATGACTGCAGTTTGAGAAAAAGTGCCATGAAAAGCTGAACCGTTGGAACAACGTATCAGCAAGCTATAATTAATGCATGTCCGGGCTTGGAGGACACATGCGGGCTCAAAGAAAAACTTGAGCACTGGTTGGGCAGAAACTGCCAGTGGAGCTGCTTGTTGTAGCAGAACTATTGTACGAGAATTACCTTGAGCCAAATAGCTTGAGATCGGGGCATGCCATTGGGGCAGCCCCTTCCCAATCCTTCTGCACACGGTGTTGCTTGCTGAGGTCTCCTGTCGAGATGTGATTCGGCAAGCGAGGTTGACACGGGTCAAGTCGAAAGGCTTGCAGGCCCTAGCAAAGGTCAACTTGCATCGATCAGAATCGGGCGCCCATCGAGTTTTCAAAGAGTTTGAACAGTCGGCACCAGTAAAAATTAGCAGGATAGATCTGCCCACCAAGAAACGGTTTCCTTGGATCAAGTGCAGTGACTGGCTAAAGTATTTGGTTTCAACAGACCGGTTGGACCTGGTGGTAGGTGTCCAAGATTTTGGGGAGATGAAGCCTCTGCTCCAAGAATTTTGGGCCCGTTACTATGAAATTGCTCCACAGCATGAAATCTTTCGCAAGCATCGAGATGGTTTGGTTGACCTCAGCCGGGTGGTGCCCCTTCTCCACCATGGCGACGAAGGCCGAGGCTACAAACGGCTTCAGGTCATGGTTGGCTCCACCCATGGCATGTTGGGCGGTGGAAGTCGTGTTACTGACCCATCCAAAGTGAAGCCCGCATCGAGTTGCAAAACGGATGATCCCATGAAGGTCAACCTTGTAGGAAATACATGGCTGACGCATTTCATTCATTTCCTCATGCCGGTAGCTGACTACAAGGATTGCCCAGAGGCATTCCTTGCTGTGATTGAAGCGCTCGCGGACGACTACAAAATGCTGTGCAATGAAGGCATCAAGGTTGGAAAACGTGAGAGGCTATGGGCATGCTGTTTGGCTTGCAAGGGGGACAGCCCCTATTTGGTGAAAACAGGCAGATTCGACCGCTCATTCTACCACAGGCCTTTGAAGGCAAAGAGCAAAACACCAGGAGTTGGTGTGTGTCACATGTGTTTGGCCGGTGTCGAGTCTCTGGCAAGTTGAGTTTGAGGAGTTCGGTGCCCGACCATCATGGCTGCGGACCGTGGAAGTTGCTGCTCCTTGGACTGACCCTCCTCCATTTCTATCTCTGCCACGTGAGCTTGATAACCCAAATGGGGAGAGATTTTTCGTCTTCGACCTCTTCCACAACTGGCACCTTGGAGGGGGCAAGTACTTCATATCATCCAGCATTGTTCACATTGTCAACCATTTGGGAACTGCTGGCAACATTGATGCTCGGTTTGCAGCCTTGGACGCGGAGTTCAAAGCATTCTTCAAGAGGGAAGGATTGACCCCGCACCAGAAGAACTTGACGAAAGAACTGTTTGGTCTTCAAAAAGGCCAGCAAGTATGTCCAAGTGGAACTTGGTCTAAAGGTGACCAAACAACTGTGATATCTTTGTTCTTAGAAGACTATTGCAAGAAGCATGTCGTTGGGAAAACCACTGACCCGATGTGCCTTGCTATTGTTCCTTTGGTTCAATCTAGTTTTTTTCCAGCTTTTGTTTTTGCCACTAAAGGCTGCAAGCGTCTTATCATGCATATATCCATGAAGGGTTTGGCCTTCCATTGAGGCAGAGGCGGTGAAGAACATCAACCGGGCGATCAGAGGCTTGTACCAGAATGGGGTTTGGATTGAAAGGCGGGAGGCTCATGACATTGCCACCTCCGGCATTGAATTCCTGCGGCTCTATGCACGACTTGCCCGGATGGCTTACCAGAACAATATCAAGAAGTTTCCTTTGCAGCCGAAATTTCATTACCTCAATCATACTTGGGTCACCCTTTTGGAACAAAGCCGACAACACAAGTGGTCCCTTTCTCCCATAGTTTTTTCTTGCATTTGGAAGACCGAGCCGGCTATCACGTCGGTGCAATCCTAGGTCTGTGTCACATAGGGTACTGCAAAGAAGTTTTGCTGCCACAAGGCAGTGCCTTCGCTGTTTGGTGGCCGAAGGGTTAGATTGATACTGAGCTTGAGCAATTTAGTTTCTATTGACTACTGCTTTCCAAACTGAAGTGTTGAATACAACTGAAGTGTTGGTTTAGTCTGACCTTGGTGCCCTAAAAGAAATGCAACCTGACATGCAGTCACAGTTGCTTGGAGCCATGGACAGGCCGCTGACGGGGTGAGCGGGCAAAAGGGGCAGCCTGAACATAATCAAATTTGATCATGAAACCATGATCTAGTGGTGGAGCCCTCAAACTCCAAAAAACCTGGTTTTTGAATATTGACCTTCATTTTGAAGGTTGTATGGAATGTCTGCTGTTTATCCATGTCGGAGAGGCAGCTGGCATATATTGTCTTGATACTACTCTTCTCGTCTGCCTATAATACATCTTTAATATATTATCTTGTAATATAGTGTCTCCATACTAACAACAGAAGACTCTGCTCCTCTACGCTCTCGGGCCATCCGTCGTCTAGTTATCATTTTTCATCATTTTTTCTTCCAGTGGCGCAAAAAAAAATACAAAAAATGGAAAATTGCAATTTTCCTCGTTTTTTTCATTGTCTTATCATTTTTTCATTTTTTTAACATTTTTTATCATTTGTTTATCATGTTTCATCATTTTTGCTTCCAGTGGTGCCAAAATTTTCAAAAAAATGGAAAATTGCAATTTTCCTCGAGTTTTTTTCATGTTTTTATCTTTTTTTAATCATGTGTTCATCATTTTTGCTTCCAGTGTTGCAAAAATTTTCCAAAAAAATGGAAAATTGCAATTTTTCTCGAGTTTTTTTCATGTTAGTATCATTTTTTTCATGTTATTTTCATTTTTTTAATTTTTTATCATTTCTTTATCATTTTTCATCATTTTTGCTTCCAATGGTGCAAAAATTTTTCTAAAAATGGAAAATTGCAATTTTCCTTGAGGTTTTTCATCTTTTTATTATTTTTTTTTATCATTTTTCATCATTTTGCTTCCAGTGGTGCAAAAATTTTCCAAAAAATTGAAAAATGCAATTTTCCTCTTTTTTTATCATTTTTTTATCAGTTTTTTTCATTTGTTTATCATTGTTTTATCATGTTTTATCATTTTTTTATCATTTTTGCTTCCAGTGGTGCAAAAATTTTCCGAAAAATGAAAAACTGCAATTTTCCTCGTTTTTTTTCTTTTTTTTATATTTTTTCATTTTTTATCATTTTTTTTTAATTTTTCCTCATTTTTGCTCGAGGAAATTGCAGTTTTCCATTTTTTGGAAAATTATTGCACCACTGGAAGCAAAAATTATGAAAAATGAAAGAGCAATGATAAAAACATGAAAACATTGATAAAAAACATGAAAAAAACGAGGAAAATTGCAATTTTCCATTTTTTGGAAAATTATTGCGCCACTGGAAGCAAAAATTATGAAAAATGAAAAAAATGATAAAAAATGAAAAAAAAACGGGGAAAAATGCAATTTTCCATTTTTTGAAAATTTTTGCACCACTGGAAGCAAAAATGACGAAAAATGAAAAAACATGATAAAACAAATGATAAAAAAATGATACCTGAAATGATAAAAAAAATGAAGATGATAAAATAAATGATAAAAAATGATGAATGCAATGATAACCAAAATGATGAAAAATGAAGAAAACTATTTTGACCTGGCCCAGTCTGTGGCTGCAAGTTTTTTCATAATGATAAAAATTATAAAGTTATATTTGTATGTCCTACCAAAAAATATTACAAGAATTTGAAGGGGAAGCATTGACAATTAATAAATTCTTTGGTATTAGTTTTGGTGATGTCATATTAGCACCGTTTGATTATAGTAGTTATGGTGTTGTAGTATTTGATGAAATCTGTTTCAGTAGTTTAACTACATACTGGAGAATAAAACAATTTGTTGGGGAAAATAAGTATAGTAAATTAGTTATTGCTACCGGTGACACAAAGCAATTAAAACCAATTCAACCACTAACCAATACACAGGATTATGCACATGCTGATAATATCATCAATAAAAAATCCTAACAGCATCATGTTGAAAGAATGTAAGAGATTACAAACACAGGAGGATAAGGATAAGTTAAATTTTGACTTTCTTGAAAATATTTTAACTTTGAAAATGGATGGAAAAACTTAGATACACTACTGACATAAGCGGTTTAAAGAATAACATCGCATATTTAAATGATACTTGTTAAAATTTATCTAATGCTGTTAAGAAACTAGAAAATAGAAAGGGCGACTATGAAGTAGGTGAGTTTTTAATATGTAGAGAATTTACTAAAATCAAAACATCACTATTTGATGTAATTTTGAAATATAAAATCGTCCATAATGGAACTGATGGAGTTATGGCATTGAAAAAGGTTGAAATTGAAATATTACAGCCAATCCATATTGATAAAGTCAGGAAAAAACTTTATATTTGCTTACTGTGCTACTTGTCATTCCGCTCAAGGTAGAAGCATTGATGGAGACATTACAGTTTTTGACTATAACCACTGGGACATAAGAAACTACAAAGAATGGTTATGGATTTCAATTAGCAGAGCAAGGGATTTGAATAAGGTAAAATTCTTCAAATATAGTCGTGCTAAATATGATGAATTTAGCTATAACTCTATGTTAAGTTTTTATGAAAGGAAAATTACAAATTACAGGGAACAGGACAGGAAAGCCAAAAGGAAAATACCCAAAGAAGGTTATGTAAATATTCAGTTGTTTTTGGATAATATAAACAATCAGTGTAATTACCGCGGTTGTTGGTGTCATACCACTACAAAAAACGGAAATATAACAACAAATTTAACAGCACAAAGGGTAAATAATGAATTTACCCATACATTAGATAATATAATACCTTATTGTAAGTTATGTAATTGTAGTTGTGGAAAATAGTAAGTCAAACATATTTCTTTGAACACATATCTAAAGATATATTGTGTATAATTAGTATTATAGGAATGATGTTAAAATATAACAACTGTAAACAAATGTAAAAACAAGATGAATAATATTAAACTGACACTAAGAAACATATTACCTGACAATGTTTGTTTTGACATTTGGAAATATGATGAGTATTGTGACGATTGTAGTGAAATTAGGTATTGGAATACTGTTGGATTAAAATATGTTTTAAATACAAGAAAGGTAAAACAATCAAATATCAGAAGGCATTATTTACTGTTTGAAAATTTAAATCATATGAGTGAAACACCACTTGTGATTATACAATTCAAACAGGAAATTGATGGAATATTTGATAAAGATTAAGTAAAACAAAGATTTAATTACAGTGTAGGTAGATTAGCTGTAAAATCACTTGCGAAGATAAAGTTGAGTATGATAAACTGCTTTAATGAGGGAACATTGAAAAATGATTTGATGTATTCTTTCGTAAATGGGTTTCAATATCATATTTTCGGGAAGTCTTACACATTTAGAAACAACCAATATCCAGTAATATTATTATTGAAACAGTTTTTGTATGAATACTGCCTTTATATTTTTGAAGATATAGTCAAACATATTGATACGGATGAATTCATGGATTATTGAGATGAAATTATGAAATTATAAATTATAACAGGACAACCTTGCCCCACCAAACCACCAAATAAATTATTGATTAAATTACATTATGATGTAATTTATGAATAAAATTTGGAAGGAATTATGGGGCAAGGTTAGCCTGATTGCATTTTTTATGGGATGATATGCTGTTATGACATTTATTGGATGTCTATTGGGTGATTTTATGATGGTTGATTGTTGTGTTTTTTTTGTGATGAATGTTGGTTGATTTTATGTGATTTTTTTTTGTGTTTTTTTTGTGATTTTATGTTGGTTGATTTTTTGGTGATGATGGGTTGTTATGATTTTATGTTGAATGATTTTTGGGTCGGTTTAGATGAAATGATTGTTTCAAGTTTGGGCTTCAGGTTTGGCAGGTTGGTCTTTGTAAGATGGGCGAGCCCCATTCTAAATATATATATATATATATATATATATATATATGCGAATAGGATGCAGGTTAGGACTGATTCCAGTTTCCGCTCACCCGGGCCTGTACGGCTCAAGACCGCACCATGCTCCGATCAAGAGAAAAGAGCTGCCGACTCTGGTGCATGGTTGAGGACAACTTAGGAGATCACAAAGTACAACATCTACACGTAGACCCGAGGAGGGCAAACCCTTTCACAGGTTATCAGCCGTACGCTCACACTGGGCGTGCGGTGGTCCCATCTGTACCTCGACCCCTACGGCATCCCGGTCCTCCTGCCCTTCTACAAGTCATAGACTTGCACTAAACGGAGGTGGATTGATAGAGATGTCGCAGAACAACCAGTCGAGCAGCAACGACACGAACTTTACCTTCGGGGCAAATGCAGCTCCAGCCCCGGCGATCAATGATACGCCCGGATCCTAAGAGAGCGGCGGCGGCGGTACAGTCTCGTACCGAGCACCTGGAAGTGTAGCATCTACAAATAGCTTCACGGTGGTTACACATGCTGATGCCCTACGGGGAAGTGCCAACAGATCGACGTCGGCAAGGTCCCATCGAGCTCTGCGATCTCGTGCTGCTGGAAGTGGCGACAACGGTGGCCGGAGCCCGTCGGGCACGGCCACGCGGGAGGATGAGGTAGGCAAATCTGCCGCCTCATCCAAACGCAAGTCGTCGACCAGTGCAACGAGGAATGAGAGCGAGACGCGGCTACGACGTCAGCTACAACGAAACATCGAGAAGTTGGAGAGAAGTGAACAAGCAAGGACTGAACTAGAGAATAGATTGGCCTTATATCAAGATGTTCTTTCACATCGTGACCAAATGATCAACAACGTAGAGGTCTATTCACATCAACATCATGAAGAATATCAGGAACATGTCAATTCAGAGATGGAATTCATTAGAAGATCCCTCATCGATGCATACAACCTGCTGGACGAACAATCCAATGCTCTTGCTGAGGCGCACCTCATGGACGAAGGTTCGACACAAAGGATCTACGAGCTTGGACAACGTGGTCAACTTGCTGAAGCAGGTGCGGCCCACATCGTTCAGGAAAGCATGGCTATGAGGAGAAGATACCACTCTGAACTGGAGAACGCGTCACAACTCATTCGTGAACAACAAGAAGTGTCTGAAGCTATGGCGAATCACTACCGTCAAGATGGACTACAATTGCGCGAAGCGTGTGCGCAGTATGTCAATGAGAAGGAGATGGCAAACAAGGAGGAGATGGAAATCTTGAAACAGAAACTAGTAGAGAGTTCGCAGATGATGGTTGTCAACAATGAAATGGTCATGGAACATGGTCAACAAGCTGTCGCACTACGAGATGGACAATTGGCGGAGATGCAATCAACTATCAACGAGTTGACGGCAAGTCTGAGAAGAAAGGACGACATCATTGCCGCCAAGGACAGCGCAACGCGTGACCATTTCACAAAGGTCCGAGACTTGGCAAATATGGCTCAGAAGAAGGAGGACGAGTACTTGATGAAGCGCAATGAACTGCAAGTGGAGATCAGAAGCCTCATGAAACTGAATGAGAACGAGATGGCTTCGAAGGAATGGCATGAAGAGAGATTCATTGAAGAGAAGAATGAGTACAGAAGATTCAGATATACTGAACTCCAAGCCTTCAGGGATAGAGAACTCACTGTTGAGGCTGTCAAGGATGAGCTCATGGATGAGAACATGAAGTTGATCGAGTCCAACAACCAACTGAGAACACGAGTCGCTGAACTTCTTGTGTCTCGACTCGGCATTAGCAGTGACGAAGCCAGTGCCAAGGCAATCGAGGAATTGCATGAAGAACTTCGCAAAGGAAACCTGGAGATTGGCCGACTTCAAGAAGGAATAGACTGCAACCCTAACTTGACTGAGGCGCTCGTCAATGCAGAAGAAGCTGAAGCAGACAGGTACAAGAAGCTGTACAAGACGGCCTGCGCCGAACGCGAGGCAACGATCAGGAAGAATGACTCGTTGAAGTTATCGCTCCACGATGCAAAGTTGGCAATGCAGTCAATGCCTGCCTCGTGGAACGCACCAGCTTCTACTACCGCTGTGCCTGCATCACCCTCAGCTTTGCCTCCTAGAAGTTTGGCCTCGAGAACGAACACATCAGCGGCCAAAACACCTTCCTTTGCAGTATCGATTGCGACACCAAGAGGAACCCCCAAAGCTCCATCATCAACAAAGAGCAATACTGTGGCAGTACCAAATCCTCCTGATGCGAGCAGCGCCATCGGCAACACGGCCACCAATGAGATGGATGACCTCCGTGAGAAGCTTCGCCAAGCTGAAGAGCGAGCACAACAAAACTATGACGAGATGAAAGAGTACCAGAGTTGGTTAGAGCAGGTGGAAGAAGGACAAGAAACATTGAAGGGAAGCAATGCTCCTGAATATGATCCTGTTCCTGACAATCCACCTGCACTTTGGGACAGAAAAGATGGCAAAGATGCTAGTGTCGCCGACAGCAGCCTTGACCAAGATGGTAAAGAATGGGTTATTCGAAATTCGAGGAAGGAGCACGAGAAGGTCATCGTCAAGCCATGGCCCAAATGTCAAGATCTTGATGTATGGCGTTCAAACGTTGTACAAGCTGTATGTGTTGCATCGGGAGATCCTGACACAGCTGCATGGAGAAGATGGTTAACTCCTGCTCAACTACCTAACCCTGACTATGCTGAACTCGCTGACTCAGGTGAATTCCGCTTCCAGTCGATCGACTCCAAGCTGTCCATTGCCTTGCAGAATATGGTGGATGCTGCTGGTGAAACGGCATTCGAGGTCAAGGTGCGGATTAGACAGAGGAGTCAAGTACTTGGTAAGGAGGGGAACTTCCTAATGGGCAGAGAGATCTTAGCAATGGTACTTGATCATTTCAGAACGACATCTAAAGATGAAGTGTTGTTCAATGCCAGCCACATCTACAAACTACAGTATCGTGGTGACAAAGAGATGGACAAGTTCCTCAATGCATGGATCGAAATCATCGCCAACATGAAAGTTGAGGACATTCCATCTGACAACACACTACGTGATCACCTCCTGAGGAAGATTGAAAACTCCCAAGCGCTGCATGTCGACCTCACGATCTTCAAAGGCAGAGATACTGATGACAAAAGGAAGTCCTATGAAGAGTTACTGGAGATCATGAAGAGGCACATTGCACGTGCGCGTGCGGATAGGAACATTGCAGCCAGGGACAAGTTTGCCACTGACTACACCAATCTTGGTAAGCCAACGACTCCTGCACCAAAGCCTGCGGCTCCAACTCCTGCGCCAAAGGATGGCAAGAACGGAAAGCCGAGTGCACCAGCACCCAAGGGTAAGCCTGGAGCCCCAGTTCTTCCTTCTGGCAATCTTAAGAGCCACGGCAAAGGGAAAAGCAAGGGTGGTCGAAGATCGAGATCACCTTCTACCAAAGATACCTCCAAGACCTTTTGTCACTTCCATTTCAACAAAGGGAATTGCAAACATGGTGACAAGTGCCAATACAGCCATTCTCAATACCATTGGGATAGGAGGAAGGACAATGGTGGCAAGGGCAAGAGTGGCAGATCGGCTACTCCAAGAAGGTCACAGACTCCTGGTGGAAAGAAGGACCGCAACTGCTACGGGTGGTTGAAGGGTGAATGTCAGAAGGGAGACATGCACTTTCAAGCATGATCCAAGCATGAAAGGCAAGAGAGCCGCCCCTTCGACGAAGACATCCGATGCTAAGGCCACTCCTGCGCTGGTCCGTGAATATGATGATGACTTCATCGTGAAAGCTGTGCCGAGCGAGAAGAAGAACAAGATGGATGTCAAGTTCAACTATCATGTAGATGTGCATGAGTATGTGAAGCCTGACTTTGTGGAATGTTCTAATAGAAAACCGAGAAGGAATCTGTCTCGAGCTCAGAAACGATCATTGCCGTGCAGAACTACAAAAGAGATCATGGATGACCAGCAGTATACGTTACAATCTAAGCTGGGCATGACGAGAGCACGAGCAATTGGCATATTGATGGATGACCATGGTGAGTTTTCTGATGTCGATGAAGTGCATGTTATCCTGGGTCCCAAGAACGACATCAAGCTCAAGATCAACGATATTGAATATCTGGAGAATAATTCAAGAGCCGAGATGTGTTATGAGGAAGTTATCCCTCATGTCCCAGGAAAGTATGGACGTCGTGACAACATCATGTGCATCACCATGCCGATCGAGCTCAAGGACAGACGATTCATCATGGACTCTGGAAGCGGTCATGATCTCATCTCATCTACCAGAGTGGATCGGATGGACATTGACACGTACCAGAGTGACAAAGTTAATTTCCACACAGCGAATGGCGTCACATCTACATCTACTATGGTGGACTTGGACTTTGACACGTTCAACGAGCCAGCTAAGGCCCATGTGTTAGAAGACACCCCATCAGTTCTATCATTGGGAAAACGATGCATGGAGCAAGGTTACACCTTTGTTTGGCCCACTGGGAGAGAACCCTACATGATCAATTCCGAGGGCGACAAGATTAAGATGGAAGTTCACGATCTTATCCCATATGTCTACCTCGGAGCCAAGGACTATCGGCCCACATCTGACCACGAGGCCGAGTTGGTGATGAAAGTGTTGGGTCTCATGGGCAACAACAGCAATGCATCGAGAGCAATATATCTTGATGGTGAAAGTGGTGATGAAATGTCCGAATCGGATGACGGAGTTGGTACGTACGTCGACGGGCCAACGAAAAGTCTCCGAGGAAGACGAAGAAGAAGAAGCGTTCCAGACGAAAGACAGTCCCTGCAGCAGCTGGTGAAGAAGTTGACGATGATGACGGTTATGAACCATCCATCCGTGAAGAAGACCCAGAGGGTGATGATGCTCATGTTGATGACATTCCTGGTGCGGATGAAGATGAAGAAGACGATGATGATCGGATACCAGCAGCTGATGATATCCCAGAAGTCGATCAGTCGGATGAAGATGAAATTGGTGTTGAACATGGACCACCTGAAGAAGAAGATGATGAGGATGATATCGATGTTGACGATCCAGATGGAGGAGTGTGACTGTCACAGAGAGGTACCCTGAAACATGAAGCACGTACTCTTGAACACTTGTTGACACATCGATACAAGAACCCATACTGCAATTCTGGCGTAAGGGCCAAGATGAAGCACCACAAGACCTACCGAGGTGCATTTCGCCGAAAGCTCACGAAGTTCGGCGACCTCATCACCTTCGACTTCATGGACACTCGCAAGACGACCAAGTTGGGCTATGACACGGTTAAGGAGATTCTTGTCATTCGAGACAGGTTTACCGGCATCATTCAAAGCTACCCCTCTCCAACTAAGAACACTGAGGATGTGGTGAGAGCGGTGAAGTACTTCATGGGAAGGCGTACTATTAGAGAAGCCTACTCCGACAAAGCTAGACAATTTGTCAAGGGCATGGAAGCACTCAAGATACCATTTGACCATGCTCTGCCGGGAAGACCATCTACGAACTCCCTTGCCGAGCGCAACAACCAGTTCGTCATTACAACAACTACTACATGCCTACTCGAGGCTGGACTACCAGCATGTTTCTGGAAGTTTGCCATACGATGTGTATGTCACCCACTCAACGTGGAACCCGGAGAAGATGATGTGAGTGCATGGTGCAAGCTCCATGGCGCCGAGTTCAAGGGCGACAAGATCCCATTTGGTGCTTTGGTCTACTTCAAGCCGAGTGGAGCAAAAGCCAATGAACAGGCTCACAAGTTCGACCCCAAGGGCATTCCTGGTGTCTTTGCCGGTTATGAAATTGCTCCGGGCGTCAATTGGCGACGGCAATATATGGCATGGGCATTGTCTGACATGACGAAGCAGAACTACTCGTTCAATGCCAAGACAATCATTGACAAGCTACGCCATCCACATCTCACGGAGAAGATTGAGGTGCATTTGCCATTGACGTTCCCATGCAAAGACATCTACGAGAAGGTGAACACCACGTTGGAAGGGTTGGCTGTGAAAGATCGTCTCGAAGGATCACCTGATTTCCTTGAAGATCAACAAGACGACGATGATGATGACGAAGACGATGATGACGGAGACGATGGCGATGATAAGCCCGAGAAAGGGAAGATCACCAATCGTGTTGAACACCAAGAAGAGGAATTCAAACGCATGATGGAGGAAGTGGACATCAAACTCAACAAGGAGAAAGACGATGGAGCTGAAGTTGCTGATGGACCTCCCATGCCTCCTCCTGATGGTGAACCTCCTTATGACGGACCTGAACATCATTCAATGGGCAAACCTGGTGACGGCATCATCTACCTCAGCGACATTGGCGAGCACGTTAAGCTCGACAAACGTGGACGGCCTTATCGAGTTGGTCCAGATGGTCGCAAAGAAGTAAGAGGATCGCCAAGACCAAAGAGTAGCTACAGCCCTGAAGAACGGAGATCATTATCCGCCAAGGAGAGAGATGTCATCATTCGTCGTGGAAAACTTGAAGAAGAAGCTGAGAAGCTCAAGGAGATCAAGTTGAAGAAAGAGAAAGAGAAGAAAGCCAAAGCAGAGATTGCTGAAAAGAAGCAGAAGTCCGATGCTAGTTCACACAAAGATCCAACAAAAGACGAAGGACGAAAGAAGAAGAAAAAGAGTAATAGAGACTCAAAGGAGAATTCAGGCAAAGATGGCAGCAAGGACGCTGCTGTCGGCGTGGGGATGCTCCGAGGTGAGTGGGAACGTATGTCTACGCCCCGCGATCCAATGACGAGGCTGAACCACAAAAGAGGTCGCAACCCATGGGAATGTTTGTCAACAACCCATGGAGCAAGTGATCTCACCGACATCAAGAAGTACAACAATGCCTCTCCTTCAGCACCCAGTGAAACGAGCACTAACGTCCCAAGTGATGATGATGGCCAAGAGTTCTTGAATGAATGGGATGAGTGGTCCGAACATGAAGTTGGAAGAGGACCAAGGGCTCACTGGGAAGATGTTCATTATGATTTCAACACTGGGAAAGTCACGACACCTGCCAAAGCTGTACCAACGGCTTCTACCTCAAAAGACTCCGACGGCAAGTCCAAGGTCAACCACTTCGTGAGTTCGATTCCTTGTATGCCTTGTGTTCATCAAGACCTTGAGCATCGCGAGAAGTTCGGTCAAAATGATGTGAGGTTTGGGAAGTTGTTCAACGCGATGGTCTCACGGCCAGTTGGTCGTAAAGAGATGATGGAAGACCCGGACGCCAAGGCTTCTATGAGGAATGAGTGGTTGGGACAGCACAAGCAGGGCGTCTATGATTTCTCAATTGTTCGTGAATACGATGAAGTTGTAGCAGAAGCCAAACGAGAAGGAAAAAAAGTTCATATGGCACGAGTTCACGGCATTTGTGTCGAGAAGAACTATCAGCTACCAAAGGGGAGCCCTGGACGAAAGTTCAAAGGTAGAGGCGTTCTACTTGGAAACCAAGTGAAGAATCAGCACTGGGAAGCCGCGTTCTTCCAAGACCTCGGCAATTCTCCAGCGACATTTGAAGCCTCCCGATGGGCAGATTTCTATGGTTGCATCCCCGGCCACAACGTAAAGCTGGCAGATGCCATTCAGGCATATATTCAAGCGAGGCTTACGGGACCTCCTTGTTGGGTCGAACTCCCTGAAGATGCATGGCCGGACGACATCGACATCCGGAAGTTCAGAAGACCGGTAGTGCGACTTGTCAAAGCACTTTATGCTCATCCTGATGCGGGCACAATGTGGGAACAACATTGTGATAAACATGTCCGTGAAGTTGGTTTTATGCCAGTAGGGGAGGAATGGCCGTCAATGTATTTCCATAACTCAAACTTTTGTTAGTCATCTATGTTGATGATTTGAAGTTAGCTGGGCCAGCACAGAACCTCACCAAGGGGTGGGAGATGTTAAGGTCAAAGCTACGAATTGAACCAGAGACGGATTTAGGTCTCTATCTTGGTTGCTTGCTTTGTTTGCTAAGCAAAGGAACCAATCGCCTGCATGATGGCACAGAGGTCACAACCATGACCTATAACATGGAGGGTCTTTTAAAGCTCTCTGTTGAAAAGTATCTTGAACTTGTTGGGAAAGATACGAAGTTAAAACAAGTCTCAACACCTAGTCTCCCCGAAGAGACCAAACAACATAAGTCTCGAGCACCAGCACCTGGGGATCCTAAGCATGCAGTTCAATGTCCCTGGTGTTCAACAAAGTTCGATCCTGGATCGTCGGTTGCCTTACAGCCCGATGCCTCCGATTCTCGGCCGGAATCTGTTGAAGTCCAACGAGGTGCACTTGCTCCTCATGCTGCTAGCATCTTGGTGAAGCTCTTATATGCAGCAAGGATCGCCCGATTTGATTTGTTGAGATCAATCAATACACTAGCACACAATGTGACAAAATGGTCCATTCAAGATGATGCAAGACTATACCATCTGATGTGCTATGTCAACTCTACCTTAGGGAAGAGGATGATTGGATGGGTCGGTAATGACATGAAAGATCAATCCATTGCGTTGTATGCAGATGCTGACTTTGCGGGATGTGCACAATCATTGAGGTCCACATCAGGTTCTCATATGCATATTCAGGGGAAACGTACTCGGTTTCCATTAGCTGGTGGGAGCAAACGCCAGGGGTGTGTGAGCCATTCTACACCTGAAGCTGAGATCGTAGCCGCTGATGTAACCCTTCGAACAATGGGTCTTCCTGCACTCAGTATTTGGGAAACGCTTACAGAATCATCTCCCAAGCTATTGTTTAACGATGACAATCAAGGGATGATTGGTGTGGTTCGTTCTGGACGGAATCCAACAATGCGGCATCTGGAAAGGACTCATGGAATTTCTATTGCGTCATTACATGAGCATTTCAGCAAAGATCACTTTGTTCTCATGTACGAGATCACAGCGAAGATGGCCGCGGACATCCACACGAAAGGTTTTACAAACCCCCTAGCCTGGAAAAAGGCTTGTATGTTGATCAATCTTTTGGAGCCCGAAGACCTTGGTTCGAAGCAATTGGCCGACTTAGTGCAGCCTACTACAGATGTTGACACTACAGTTCGTCAAGTTTTTCAGTCAAGGACAGATGAGGTTCCCAATTTTCCATATACTGAAACACCCATACTGCCACCTGAGGTGTACCGTAAGGGTCTTTCAAGTCGAGAAAAGCTTCAAGAGCTACCCGGTATGGATCCCATCTTTGTGGTCAAAACCCCTACATTGTTCAGAACAGACCAGCTGGTGTCAAACTTCCTGCAGATTGCCTTCGGAGCACCTGGATCTTAGTCCACGGGAAGTGGGAGCAAGTTGAGGATCGTGTTCCACCTTTGTTACAACAATCACGTTTTGACAAATGGATAGAAAGGGCATGTTTCCAATACCATCACCCCACTTCCGCTCCGATTGTCTCACTGCCCGTATGTGAATCCACGGCGGCCAGTCCTCGGTTCTTACGTGCGTCGACGTTGGAACTGAGCAATCCGAGCCTCACATTCAGTACTGAAATACTCTTTGAACAAGCTCAACGTCCTCAGAAGATTCCGTTTTCGTTACATGAAGGGAATCCTATAACCATTCGGGTGATCAATGCCCTGGTACGCCTTGTTCATGGGGGGAGAGGCATGGAGGATTCGAAACAATTCAAAGATCAACAACAGTTCCACAAAGCACTTTCAGAGATGTTGAAGTTACAAAAGCCGCCCATACGGAGAAGAAACACCAAGAAAGTAGCATCAGCAACTGAATGTGGTCATGATAAAGTTCATGTTCGCGATGAATGGAGACGGATAGGGGACCATGTTCTTGAAAGGATCCACAAGTACCGAGAAGAGAGATGTTCGTTCTAAGTGATTGTGATGATTGTCCATGTGATCATCGTTTGATTCAAGATTGGAGAGAAACTCAATTGAAGTTCCAGTCGAATGTGAGGGTGGACAAGAGTAATTGGCGTCTCCCGGGTGACAATGGAGAGAGGTCAACCAATCGAAATGAGTTTTGGACTGGAAAGTCTATCTTTCGTGTTATGGGGCATCAGAGAGTTCCTCCGGTTGCGAGTTGCATTATGGATGATAATCTGATGGCTTGTGTCAACACCATGGGTCTGAACATCATTTCTCCTGACAAGATATTTATCCCTCATACATATCGGATGGTGATTGAAGAGAACGAGAACGAGAATGAGTTGAACATATTTGCGGACAGTCTGATCAATTTGGTATTGGTTCGTGACAATGGGCATCGTATGAAGTATACGTTCACAAGGTCTATTCATGATCTTGACAGTACGAAGTACCTGGGGAAGAACGTTACCATCACAATACAACAGTTGCCCGAAAGAACACCCACTATGATATTGATGTGTGCTGAGCCCTCAAGTTGATGACAAAGAGATACCGTGAGATCATGGATACGTCGATCCATCTGGAATTAATCACAGAGGATGATGACCTTCTCTCCAGATATGGGAGTGCAAAGTGGAGGAGATGTCTCCGCAGCAACAAGGACTGCGTCTTCTTCGCTGGACCGTGCACGGGCGGATCTCCGTGGAACAGGCTGAACAAAAGGGTTAGCATTGCTACAGCTCATATGATTCATGCCAAAGCACGTCTATATTGGAAGTTATGGGAAGAGTTCTCAAATTGCCTCTTGAAAGTGATCAAGTTGGATGCAATGGCGTTATTGGAACTACCTAGAGGTTGTGATTATTGGCATGATGAACGGATGAAATGCATGATTGAGGGAACTGACTCGCACATTCATGACTTCGACGGACGTATGTATGGTCTTACAACACAGTTTGGTGATCGTCATATGCCAATCAAGAAGCCATGGAGGATCGTATCATGGGGAATCAAATTTGAACTACACAAGAAGTGTGACCGAAGGCATGATCATGGAAAGTGTGAAGGTCGCGAAACCAGAATCACACAGACCTACACCAAACAGATCGTCGACATTATTCTGAAAACAGTGTGTCGATATGTGTCAATTCGGTTCAAGAAGTCGTTGTCAGATGATGATGATATATGCAGCAGTTGTATGCATGATAGACGTTCAGCAAAGAAGACAGCGGTTTCAATCGTTTACAGCAATGATGAAGTATCGGCTGATCTCATATGGTTGACAATGTTCCACACGGATGGGTGTCAGATTGACTCAAACCCTGAACACTCAGGATATCAGTTAAGGAGGAATCAGCGAGTCACGACTTTGACGACTTCATATTCGCCGTGCACCAACGAGTGGGCGATCGGAAACCCGAACGAGAATCCTCGACGGGGAGTACGTGACCCCAGGGTGATCGACAAGTCGCAGGTTAATCAACCACGACTAGTACGTGACCCCATCGGTCTGGTAGCCATGTCGAACTACTCGCAGGTCATTGGATCTGCACAGCATGATCTCAATGACATCAGCTCCATTCTCATCACGTTACGGAACAATGGCAAACATGGTGCCATTCCTACTATGTACAGGGAGTATGATCCGACGATCAGCATGCAGTCTGCCTGACAACACGATCGACAAGTGGCATGCGATCGGAATGAGCCCGATCGTGGCGGCGTCAGCATGCTTCTTGGGAAAGATCCCTTCGAACCGATCTGAGGTGGACGCCATGATGCATCACGCTGTTCCTCCAGGTCTTAGAGCTGGTCAAGAACCCTGAGGAGCTCAATCAAGGCGCCAAAAACTCTTGGATCGATGCACCACCTATACATGAAGACCTTTGTCCAGTTGGCATCCCGAAACAATCACAAAGTTCTTGGGTTCTGCACCAGCGAATGCATCAACAGCTTGGGGAACATGTGGGAGTACATCAAGAACTTCATGTGCCCCATCCCATTCAGAACGATGGGTCCTTTACTGTGTCGATGCTGCGTGATCACCTTCGAGAATTCAAGCTTCGACCTTATGGAGGTGACCTACGAGGTGTGTGAACCAATCGGTCCCAGCCGAGAACACTTGGTTGAGTGCAACGAGGAAGAAGGACGGGGTCCTTAACCCGTCTGATCCTGATGCTCCCATCACCATTTCTTTCAGAGCGATCCATAGAGAGCTTCACTACTTTGACATGGATACGACCTGGCAGACTCAAGGGACCCAGAACATGTTCCATGCGGCTCTCGATGAATGGCAACGCCAGGTGATCAACTTGGGGCATGCATGGAGATGCTACAACCAAAAGGTGGATGACGAGGGCGAGTACAAGGACTACATGACTCTGGAGACAACGATCAACGATCTCATCGAGCAGAACACCAAGTTGGGTCGCGAGAGGGCCGCTGCAGTGAATCACTTCACCTGCATCTTGGCTCTGGCTCCTGCAATCTTCAGATGGAAGAACAAGTTGCAAAAGTTCTGGAGCTTCTCTGACCTGGCCAGGGGAAACATGACCAAGCTTGATGGGCACGTTAGACGAGTTCAACAATCGTTGTTGCTCACGTCGGAGACCCTGGAGAATCATGGCTACAATGTCATCAATGTTGAGGAAGGCAACCACGGGGAGATCAAGAAGCGCAACAAATGCTTCTCTGCATTGAGGGAATTCATGACGACCCTCACAGAAACCCAAGCCGGAGGAGGACAGTCAGGAACTCAGGTCGCTGCAAGTGGATGGAAGAAAGTGTTGAAGTTTGGTGACAATGTTTGGCCACCGGAACCTCCCAGAGAACAAGTTCCAGGGTGGGTCACAATTCCGGATCCAACTGTGCCAGCACCGAGGGTCAGCAGGTTTGGTCCTAGACCGCCTCCTGGGCCACCACCTGGATACAAGGCTCCACCACAGCCTTATCCATCAGCACAGCCTCCACCAAAGAAGGCAAGACCGACTTCTCCTACGGCACCACCACCAACACGATCGAGTGCATCGGGGTCACAGTCGTCAAGTTCAGCTGGACCTCCACCGCAAACGGCACCTAAGCCGGCGCCGAAGCCTATGCCGGCGAGACCTCAGACCGAGTTCGTCCCGCCGCTGAAGCCATTGAATGTGGCCACATACTGCAGGGTGTGGACGGACTACACGGGCACATCGGTGAGATCAATCTTGAATGTTCATGTGGACACCATGAATGAGTTTGCATTAACGCATGTCCTAGGACCGATGGCGAACAGTGTTCAGTCCACGTGGCATCAGTATCTCAGAAGATTGGCCACGTACACCTGCCTATGCTTTGGACTGGCAGGCGCCAGGGAGATTGGCGAGACATCCTACACCTTCAGCGACATGGAATGGCTGAGGATCTACAACGCAGCCGTGAAGCGTGGGGGGATGCTGCACCAAAACTACTATGTCGGTTGGCTCCATGACGGTCATGATCAACCTCAACGATGAGGCACAGGCCACTGATCGCAACTACGGAAAGTGGAGGCGAGGCCTGCAGTCGGGCATCGGTGGAACCATTGTGGAAGAGCCAATGGTGCGCAAGGAGAAAGATGAGCTGGCAGGGAAATTCAGGTTTGGCAAGACCATCTTGATCACTGACCTCGTCTACAAGTGCAACTCGAATGCGAGGGGAATGACCAACATCCAATACGGGCTCGATGAAATGGGTTACGCTGTTACACTCATCGACTCATCGACATCAACAGCTTCAAAAGCGTGACCAGAGCTCAGAATTTTTTGGATGCAGTCGACCACCTGTGAAGAGGAACGTGATGCCAGATGTTGCATCGGAAGAGAACGTGACGATCCACGGGTATCGTTCGCATTCCTCATCACCGACACGCACCCATACCATGTGTGGGTCGAAAGCAACTTCGCAGAAAGAATGTCCGAGGCAATCCGAGGCGTCGACAAGATGGCCACAAGACCGATCTTCGTATCGCTCTGCAAGGACCCGAGATTCCATGGCATACAATCTGGTATCCAGGAAGTGGCAGTGGATTCGGCAGACATCTTGAGGAGCTACGGGATCATGGTCACGACTGATTGTGGCATGTGGCGTCTGATGTATGGTCACGCCGGGAACCACTACATGAACAACCAAACGCAACCATGGAAAAGTTCCTGTTTAGACTAAGGGTACTGCTGATGTGTTCCCTGAATGTCGAAGCTGCAAAGGGGCTGAACGACATGGTGAAAGAATCATCCATGAAGGTCGGCATCAACCTGGAAATGATGGAGGCAGTGCTCAAAGAACCTGCGACTATCCAGATTGGAGCCGGAGGTGGAGTACCAGATACTGCGAGCACTGGAACAGACTGTCCAGGCACTGTTGGAGGTGGAAGAAGAGTGAACGTGGAATACGAGAAGGCGCCATGGATCGAGGCGACGGTGAGATCAATTCTCCCTGAACCCTCTGCAAACATGTACGACATGTGGTTCTATGTCAACCATGGACGCGATGATGTGATTCTATGTCAAAGGCATTACAATGGACATGATGATGAAATAGTGCCACACGACTTCATGAATCAGGATTTTGGATGTGGAAAGGAGTGCATCGCTTGTCGCGGAAACGAGATGTCAAGGGACTATCACCTTTGGCCTCCGGAGTACCAACGAAAGATGGTCATCAAAACGGCGGCAAGGTCCCGTGCATTCTTCAACATCATGGCTGACAATGGCAGTGCCGTGACTGACCCTCAGAAGGACTTCGTTCGGTTCCTCAAGGACATCACCAGAGCATGGTGGGCAACAAGGGATGCGAACATGGAGAGATCCTCATGAAGGCATTGTCACATTTTGGGATGGTCAGAGTTCCCAGGGATCGTGTGAAGCAGATCTTCACTGGGAAACGTGGAAGACAATACACCGTCATCCGAGAGGAGTTCATGCTGGAGGATGATCAAGGAGCTCACGCGAGATTCGCGTACCGTGAGACTATGGTAACGTCTTCTACAAAGATTACCTCAAAATGGTGCTCGGAGATGACTTCACTGATGTCATGGGCTACGCCGATGCCGCAGCTGAGAAATGCGGTGACGTGGTCGAGATGTGGTTAGGTATGTTGGACCTGGCCAACATGACGAAGTCGCAGATCACGTTCATGGAGACAAAGGCCGATCCAGGTGAGCTGCTTGCGGGCCTGGAAGCGTCGCTCAACATCTTCCATGGAACTACGAGATCTACCACGACTCCCAACACCAAGAGAGATGGATCAAGAATCACGGAGCCCATGAACTACGAGGAGGCTGCTGTGAACTCAGTTTTGCATGACATCCCAATGTACCACAGCCTGCAACATGCTTGCCTGATTGAAGACAAAGAGATTGGCGTCATCAACGACAGCTACAAGAGGTCAATGGAAGACAGAGCCAACGATGATGAAATGGAACCCGATGGCCAAGGGACCGGGGAAGGTACGTCTACCACCCCGGAACCGGCGACTGGAGAAGCGGGAGCTAGTGCTGAAGGAGTAGGCAAATCTGCCGCTCCGGACATGCACGACGCGACCAACTCTCCGTCAAACCCTGAGGAGGAGTTCCAGATCTCTCAGGACAAGGGTGCCGTCATCGAGGCCATTGACGCGCTCTTTGCCATATGGCAGACGACAACAACGTGTGGCCTGAAGTGTGGCGAAAGCGGACATCCGAACTATGAATGTCCGACAAAAGGTAGTGATCAGGTCAAAACTACGGCCTTGACTGCCCTGAAGAAGAAACTACAGGGCGATGATGTCGAAGAGAAGGAGACGTCCCAGGAGAAGGACAGCGAGGAACAAGATCGTTTCCGCCAAGAGAACTACAAGGCAACCAGAGAAGGAGAATACATGTACCTCCGAGCCATCCCGCTATCAGTGATCGGAGATCGAGCTCATGGTGAGAAGAGCATCAACGGGGTGAGAGCCGATGAAAGAGGCCCAACAACAAAAGACCAGCTGAACCACATTGTTGATACAGCTTGTCAGAAGGGCATTGTTACAACCTGCAAGGAGATGAGGTCAGCACTGACGTACTCCGACCACAGGATGTACAAGAAGCTCGCCATCGGGACCGACATCGGGAAGCTCAAGATCTTGCCAGTCAACGGGGGCACGTTCTACTCCAGCGGATACGCCGGACATGGTGTTGAATACTCACTACCGACGGAATCCAACTCAAACCATGTGATGTTGGAGGGCTGGGAGAAAACCTACAGCTACTACTTCAACAAGGCCTTGCGACACCACATTGGACGAAAAGAAGTGTGGGAAAGAGTTCAAGGTGGGAGACAGACAATATATCCCGGGCTCAAGTGTGACGAAGCCAGTTGGGTGGACATTATGGAATTCCTACATCACCCATGGATCTTCGATCACGAGAAAGTTCGCACCGAGGATGACGGACTTGTTGGTATTGACTTTCGAGAAGAACGTGTCAACACCATGATCAAGACTGTTTGGTCCGAGTTCCAAGAGAAGAACAAGATCCGCATCCAATTCCTTTGCATTGTCTTGGACTCTACATTCGACAAGCCTGACGACTATCTCAAGAATGTCATGAAGGTCGGTGACGATATCCACGATATCATTGCCAAACGTGGAGAAGTCTTCCTGGCGCCCATTGCTGTGCGCTCACCTGGAGGATTTTCAGCCCGTGGAAATGACTTTCGCCTTGATTACGGCAGGATTTGTCATCCGGTCACTACAAGAATTGCAGATGACATTCACTTCTGTTATCACGTGACTGAATTCAAGAACGTGACAGGCATCATCAAGGAAGGTCTACGACCAGGTGGCCACAGAGGAGGACGAACACAAGTATTCCTGAACCCATTTGTGCCATGGGACAAACGATACAAGGACATCCTGGGGGGACAACTGACACACCTCGGGCAACCTCGTATGGTCCTGGCATTCAGTGTGCACCGACTCATGAGCCTTGGAGTCATGATCAACGCATCTGGACAAATGGTGGTCAATGGAAATGTCCCGTTCTCCGAAGTGATCGCAGCTTGGTATCAGGCCAACAACTATGAATGGGAACGACTACTCGTCGATTCCGGCAAGTTCCAATTGGTGAGATCTTGCAATGAACCAAAGGAGATCGCAACAGCCAACACAGTGCTGCGCGTCGCCAGGACATTACTGAATGAGATCGATACTGAGGACAACATCCCGTTCTACGACCAGTTCGTGAAGGACGTTGAAAAGCTCGAAAAGGTTAATGGGGTGTTGGATCCAAACAGCGAGCTCAGAAACGACATTGTGACGTTCATCTCAGAGAACTACACCCCAAGAGAAGCCGGACATTTGATTTGTCCTGCCTGCCTCACTGAGACTCCAATTGCTCTATCCATCTGCATCAGATGCCATGGTTCGTTAGTAAGCTGGGGGGAGAAAGCCGCAAAACAGGATGAGAGCACCGCCCCTGGCATGCAGAACGAGAACGACAAGAAAGCGGAGATGGCGCTGAAGACGAAGAAGAGGACGTCGAGATGGAAAATGAGGACCAAGATGAAATCGATCGTTTGGTCAGAGAGTCGAAGAGAACATCAGGGGAAGAGTCAGATGATGACGTCGATATGTCAGAAGCGAAGCCGAGCAGAACACAGACTAGATCTGGAAGCGATCGAGAACGTACTGCTCCAGACCACAATGTGGCATTCGGCACCAACGCCAAGGAACAGCAGGAAGAGGAGGACGAACGAGTCGCCCATGAACAAGAACAAGACGAAGAGCAGAGGGAAGCCAGGTTGAAGTTGCCATTATGGACATCGAGAATCATCCAGGGCTCCATCATTCAATGTATCGACATTGCACAGAATGAGGACGCAATCGACAGCACCGCAAGAGTGATTGACGGAATGATCCTCACCTACCTGAAAGATCGATACAAGCTCTACAACGTCTGGACGTCAATGGCACCAGCACAACAGTACTATGACCATGTCAAGAAGACGAAGCTCGTGCCTGAATTTGACGGATACATCCCATACGTTGGCGAACATCCCAACGGTGAACTGAAAGAACCAACAGTGGAACAGCTCGAAGAGTCATTCCGCGTCAACGCCAAGAACGGAAAGATTGGCGGCAGAGAACTGGAAGTTTACATGAAAGGGGTGAATGGTGTCAGGGTACTATGCAAAATCATGAAGTACCTTGTCCAAACTGGAGTTACACCACAGTTGATCTACTCCAAGGTCGTCGACGTCACTGATGAAGATGAAGAACGCAAACAAGAGGTCCGACAGGAGGCATCCGACTTCGTCAGAAAGATTATCTCAGGTGCCTTAACGCCGCGCGATCCTACGACTATTTTAGAGTCACACCACCTCAACGAGATGACCATGTTCACATTGATCCTGTGGAATTAGTGTGCGCAGTAACCGAGAGATCGAGAACCTTCACCGTCCTCGTTACGCTCAACAAGATGGGTTTGAATATGCCACAACAATTACAACGAGTTTGGCAAGGGAAACTCAAAGCCGTTATGCAAAGTGCTGCACAAATGGACACGAGCTTACGATCCCTCGACCCGTCCGAGCGCGAGAACGCGATGGACTACATTCGAGCACTTGGTGACGCACAACCCACTGAAGAACGGGCTTCGGCAAGCACGAAGGAGTCCGATGCGAAGAAGAAGCGGCGCAAAGGATGAGATCCTCTTGGCCTACATCTATGAAGAGCACTATTGAGAGGATTCTGAGTGCCGGACTAATTCATATGAATCCCATACGTTCAGGATGCGAAGCTTTCCTGATGCAAGGGAACATATTTTGAAGGGCGTATGAACCAAGGTAGAAAACCTTACAGATGCGGCGTAATTCAGAGGGTGCGTGGAACGCCGGAGGCATGGCTGCCACGGCTAGTACACAATCCCTGTGCAACGAAACCGCTTAATGTACAGAATAGGAGAATAGGCGGCAGGCGAGCAAATGCATTCCCTTTAATTTTGAACTTAGCGTTTGCTCCTGTGCCCGACCCCCTGACCGAAGGTATGGCTACCACGGTCGGGGAGGGTCGGGCATGGGGGGCGCGAATAGGATGCAGGTTAGGACTGATTCCAGTTTCCGCTCGCCCGGGCCTGTACGGCTCAAGACCGCACCATGCTCCGATCAAGGGAAAAGAGCTGCCGACTCTGGTGCATGGTTGAGGACAACTTGAACTAGGAGATCACAAAGTACAACATCTACACGTAGACCCGAGGAGGGCAAACCCTTTCACAATATATATATATATATATTATATTCGCACGACATAGGCATTTGCTTGCATCGCCTATTTTAAATGATCTTTCATGTCTGGTTTGGACCTATGTCAAACGAATACACTTGATGTGAATTTGTTGCCATGAGGACAGTTCAGCCATCTCCGATATTGCCTACGAGTACTTTGCCAATGAGTTCGCAGTGCGTGTCAATGGGAGTTTCAAGGACAGTGGGGGTCTGAGGGTTGAGAGTGTGTTCGCTCAACGTTTTGCTATATTATACCGTCCGCAAACGTCCGCAACCGTTCGCGCAAGCCCCGTATGGCCGTGCCTATCCCAAAGGATCCAATGTATGCAAATATTACCAACATTCGGCAGTGTCAGCGATTTTTGCTTACATTCGCATTTATAGGCCAATGTAGGCTTGTATTCCTTACATTCGGCAAATTGGTTTTCCGACAGGTTCCGTTGTTTCCGACAATGTATAACGGCCCAAGTCACAGCAAAATAAAAACCGACATGTAGGAAGGTTAGGTGCCAATATGGTACCAAAGTAGACCCAACCAACAGCAAACATGGTATTTCATACTTCATACCAACAAGGCAAGCAGCAGTCTAGGGCAAAAAAGATCAAGTGACAGTGGCAGCATTGTTTTGCTGACCCGCAATTTCCCTCATTTTGATAGGTGTTCCAAGTTACACAACAGCAGACATAACAAAGGGATGAACTAAGAATATGATTTGCAAATATTTGCAATATCTCATTGCTTTTCATTCATGATACGAATGTATGGGTTGGAACACAGTCTCCAACAATTAATATGTTGATAGATTGATCATTGTATTTTATCATGTGTGCGAGTCTGTCGGGTGTAAATGTGGGACGTGTTGCAAGTTCAAGGGCAAATGCAATGAATTGGATAAATTGTTGGGCGATCCATTTTGCTATTCAATAGATGCATGGTTGTTTGCCCTCAGTTTGCTACCAGCCGTTTGCAAGTTTTCCTTGGAACATGTTTATGTATGGCTGTGAGGAGGCCAGATTGTTAAAGCTATAGCTTTGAAACTTTGAAATTATTTGCGGAGGTTGCCGTATCCTCCGAACTCGGTATCTACCTAGCAAAAAAAACAATTTATTAACCTGGAAGCGTTACCCTGATACAGCTTCCGAAGATCAAATTCTCAATGCCCGCCCCAAGACCATGAAGTTCATCATGGAGTTATGTTCTTAAATTTGTTCACACCTGGACTTATGCAGGCAAATTTCATCACATTTCAACAAAAGGCCTGATTTAACCTAATGATTTCATAAATTTGCCCTTGCAACTTTTTTGCTGGTTGATCAAAGGGATGTGGCATGTGCCGACTCGATGCCACCAAAACGACACGGTATCCTTGATCGGCTCCAAAAAACATCGCTGCCAACCACCCTGACTTATGGACGCGGCGATTGCTCAAACAACATAATAGCCATAGCCTTACAAATGTCTTCTGTCAGAAAAGGTCACAGTGCTTTAATGCTCAGTTATGACCGAAAGCAAACCTGTTCTAATTTTAGTGAATTCAATACCTGTAACTCCTCAACTAGAGATGCTGCACAGTAGTAAAAAAAAACGATATGCAGGAAAGTAACCAAAAATAAGCGCCAGTTGAAGACACTCGTCATTTCAGAGCGTGTCTCAGGAAGAAGAACACTGCAGCAATTAATTTTGATAGTGCCGGGGCATCCCCGGACTACAATACTGACCGGGCCTCATCTCATCCCCTTCCAATTTTATGCTGATATTTTTCTTTTTCAGGAAGTGTCAGGTTTATGTTATGCCACTTTTGTCAGAAAATGTCAGAAAAAAGGGCTGGAAGGGGATATTCCAGTCAACATGTGAAAAGGTTTGGGCCTGAAGATGTGGAAATAAAATGTAGATTTGCCAACAGTGTTCCAGTAAAGCTCCCGGTGTTTGGTCACACTCCCGTCACGCTCCCGTCACGCTCTCGTCACGCTGATCCGACAAAAATTGCCTATTTCCTACTAATTTTGCATACATTCGGCATGGTCCGTCACGCTCCCGTCACGGTCTCGTCACGCTCACTTGGGGCAGCGGGCTGCCCAAATTTTCCCTAACACATTGACCAATGCCACACTAAAGAGACACAATGTTCAAGATTCAAAATGTTCCTATTTTTTTCACCGTCACCGAAAAGAGCACACTTTCACTTTCAGTGTTCTTGCCCCCTGGGTTGACCATTCAAAAAGAGTTTGCATGATCCAGCAAGGGCATAAGCATGCAAATTCCGTATCCACCCTCCTTTGCATTAACTACTTCCCTCTTTCCACCATACATCAGACAATGTAGGAACGTCAAAATTGAATTGCAGAAAGTTGGCAGCTAAGCACCTAAGCGCATGCGGGAGTGCAAAAAAAATCCAGTACTGCAGGAGTGCAGAAATACTTTTTAGTTTTCAGCGCCGAGTTGCATTTCGTGACTGGAACTGATTTTGCTGCTTATGAATTTACGTCTTGAGTGCCGATCATATTTTTTCTTGGCGCTTGCCTTCTTGTTTTTGCTCCCACACAATTCATCCTGTTCAATTGTTTGGCTTTGTTTTTTATTTTCAATTATTTAGCCACACGATGCACCCCTCCCCCCCCCAAAAAAAAAAACAGCTGTCCAAACAAACTCCATCATCTTTGACACAGATTTGTGAAACAAACATGCAAGCATCTGGACAACAGATTAGCATGTTAAATTTCTGTAAGCTTGTTATGGAATGTTATGTTGGGCAATCAGTGACATGTTGCCGCCAAAAGCTGACGCCCACATGCACATGTTGCATATTTGTCATATGTATCCTGTTTGGTTGTATGTTGTTCCAGCAGTGTCCTATTTGTTTGGGTTGGAGGTCAGAAATCGAGACCCAGCAAAAACATGCATTTGCGAAAGCATGTGTGTTCTTATCTATCTTACTGTAAACATCCCTCCCTGACCCAGTATGACGGTAATTACATCCTGTTGTTTTTTTTGTTGATCGTGTCTGTGTGTGTTCCACTGTATGCTGTGTTGTCCCATCTTTTGAACATCATAGTGGCCCCCTCGGGTAGGTGAAATAAAGGTGTTTGCTCAATACTCTACAGCAATTTGTTGTTCCTGCGATGGACTCAAAATCAGCTGAAGAACAAGCATGAGCAAAGGCAAATATATTTGAGATGCCACGATGCCTGCTTTATTGATGCAATCCTTTGATATCTCATGCTATAGCTCATGATTTCTCATGGGTTTAGTCTTGCAGGTTCCGGACTATTGATTTGGCTTTCCTTCAAGCTATCAATTGTATACTGTTTTCTGGACTTTGTTTGGGTGATTGTCGCTGAAACTTGTGGATGTCATCTTCGATTGGTTCAAGATTGGTGCAGGCCTGCAATATCCAGATGTAGTCTTGTGAATTGTCGTATATAGAACATTAATAATCATTAATATAACTATTAATATGTAAACACATGTTCAACTTTGATGTTTTATTCCTTATGACGTCGGTAAAGACTGACCCATCACTTTTTGGCAACATAATTTTGCCCGCAACAGAATAAACTGACACTTTCCGATAAACTCCGGCAAAATCACTAGATTCCGACAAAAGTAGGAGCTAATTCTACGAATGTAGCCTCCAGGAGCCAACATTCCAATGTTGGCTTCTCAGGCCAACATTGGAATGTATGCAAATATTACCAAAATGGATAGTTTGGGTATGGTAAGTTCCGCAAAAGGGGTCGCTTTGGAGGTTTCACATGTGGCGTTGCTTCGTTTCGCGTGGCAGGGGTGGCACTTCGTGACATTCCCAAAAGATCAGGTTTAGGCAATTTCCTGCCTAATAGGTAATTCCTTATTTCGTACCTAATTAGGTAATTTTTAAGGTAAAAAGGTATCCTAATTTTAAGGTAATTCGGCACGTGGGGTTGAAAGTTTGCGTGCAAACTTGCGAGGCGGGGCTGAAAGTTTGCATGCAAACTTGCGAGACGAGGTTGAAAGCTTGGATGCAAACTTGCGAGGGGAGGTTGAAAGTTCGCGCGCAAACTTGCAAGGCGGGGTGGAAAGTTTGCGCGAAAGCTTGCGAGGCGGGGTTGAAAGTTTGCAAGCAAATTTGCGCCCTTTGACACACACGCAAGCATTTGCATGCAAATGGTGGTGCAAGTTTACACCCAAACTTGCGAGGGGGGGTTGAAAGTTTGCCTGCAAACTTGCGAGGGGAGGTTGAAAGTTTGCATGCAAACTTGCGAGGCGGGGTTGAAAGTTTGCGTGCAAACTTTCGTTGAAAGTTAGGTATATAATTAGTTAAGACAAGAAAAATTAACTAATTTAGGTAAGGAAAAAAATAAACTAATAGTTATTTTATTTGTCTAAGATAAGGAATTACCTTTTCGGTAGGAAATTGCCTAACCTGATCTATTGGGTTCAGACGTGTTTTGTAACGTGTCGAAAGTCGTTTTGTGTGGCAGGCTACTTTGGCGACGTTTTCAGAAGATGCGTTGCAGTTTTCGTGGCAGGCGCAGCACTTTGGACGTGTCTATCTTCATTTTGCGTGGCAGGCGCAGCACTTTGGAGGAGTCGTGTTGTGTGTTTTTTGCGAATCGCATTGTCAGGGCTGTGTCAAGTGGCGACAAGGTGCAACCTCCGTACTAGGCGTGGCATTTTGTGAGATGTAATGAAAATTGTCGGAAGCCTCTCTCGAAACATCGTTTTTGAGGTTGCAAATTTTCAGGTTCTAAGGAAAACTCGAAGGAAAACATCGATTGTGAAGCTACAAAGTGCCAAAAATGGAGCAAGTCTCGCAGGAAATGCTCAAGCAGGTTGCCATGTCGTTTTGAATGGCAGGCGCTGCACTTTGTGACATTCCAACCTGTTTAATAACGTGTCGAAAGTCGTTGTGCGTGGCAGGCGCAATACTTTTGCCTCGTTTTCACAAGATGACTTGCAGTTTTTGTGGCAGGCGCAGCACTTTGGAGACCTCTGTCGTCATTTTGCGTGGCATGCGCAGCGCTTCAGACGTGTCGCATTGCGGGCTTTACATTCTACACTCTACACTCCACACTCCGCCCTTTACACTTTACAGTCTACACTTTACACTCCACACTCTACACTCCCCACGCTTCACACTCCACACTCTACACTTTACACGCCACACTCAACACTTTACACTTTACACTTTACACTTTACACTTTACACTCCACACTTCGCACTCCATACTCCACACTCTACACTTTACACTCCACACTCAACAGTTTACACTTTACACTCCACACTTCCCACTCCACACTCCACACTTTCCATTCCACATTCTGCACTCTACACTGCGCACTCCACACTTTACACTTTACACTCTACACTTTACACTCTGCACTCCTCACTCCACACTTTACACTCCACACTTTACACTTTACACTCCACACTTTGCACTCCACGCTTTACACTTTACACTCCACACTCCACACTTTAAACTCCACACGTTACACTCCACACTTTACACTCCACGCTTTACACTTGACACTTTACACTCCACACGCTACACTCCACACTCTACATCCACATTCCACACTTCACACTCCACACTCCACACACTACATTTTACACGCCACACTCAACACTTCACACTCCACACTCCACACTGTACACTCCACACTTTACACTTCAGACTCCACACTCTACACTTTTCACTCCACACTTCACACTCCACGCTCCACACATTACACTCCACACGCTACACTCCACACTTTACACTCCACACTTTACACCCCACACTTTACACTCCACACTTTACACTTCACACTCTACACTCCACACTTTAAACTCCACACGTTACACTCCATGCTTTGCACTTGACACTTTACACTCCACACGCTACACTCCACACGCTACACTCCACACGCTACACTCCACACTCTACATCCACATTCCACACTTCACACTCCACACTCCACACACTATATTTTACACGCCACACTCACCACTTCACACTCCACACTCCACACTGCACACTCCACACTTTACACTTCAGACTCCACACTCTGCACTTTTTACTCCACGCTTCACACTCCACGCTCCACACTTTACACTGCACACTTTACACTCCACACTTTACACTCTACACTTTACACTCCACACTCTACGCTTCACACTCCACACTTTGCACGCCACCTTCCATATTCCACAGTCTACGGTGCACTGGTATGGTAACAGGGGGAAAATGTTCAAGACTGTTGAAATAAACTGTTTTACAACAGTGGTCTACGTGACTGCATATCCATGTGTTTCGACATCTGAACCATTAACATACGTGTGAGCATTCGGGTTCGTGGGCGGCATCTTGTTTTTTTTCTTTTCCCTCCAGTGCCAGTGAGATGGTTCATGTCACACAGCCTGTTTCTTGCAGAGCTTCAGTTTCACCAATCACTTCCAGTCACTGCCACTCACTGCCAGTCACTGCCAGTCACTGTAGGAAGGGGAAGAGGTTTGCATCAACTATGGAGAACAACGCAGCAATGACAGCCTCCTGCAGTTCTATGGTTTTGTGGAAAGGCACGGCCTTGCTGGCACCTGCCTTGGCTTGCCATCGCTTGCCATGGTTTGCCTGCAGGGATAACGCCAACGACACGTACACTATGGACATTCTCAAACACTTGGATGTGGCCAAAGGAGAAGTCTTAGAGGTGCAGTTTGCCGCACGTGGTTCAATTTTTTCTGTTTGCAGCTGCAATATAACATACATATTATACATTTATAATTATATATATATACAATATACATATAATATCATACAATATTTGATTTGCACCTCAGAAGTCGCAGTTGCCCTGACCACAAATTTGGCACAACAAATTGAACCATTTTGGTTGTGATTGCTGCCTTGCGGGGCAGGTGATTTTGACAAGAACAGGTCCACGCGATGAGTCCATGACCAGGTGAACTTGGCAGATCAAAGCAGATCCCGCAGGGCCCTTCAAGAGTTTCTTAAAGCCCGAGCATACCAGAGCAAGAACATACATCATCAATCATCAATTGTCATCAATTGGTGCCACTTATCAGACAACTGTTGGCCTGGTAGACGGTCAATCCTAGTGTTCCAGACGCTTTCACCTCACTTATTTGCCCAGGCTCTTGACGGCTCTTGGTGGAGATGGCGATGAGGAAGAAGCAATGGCCTGGCAGGCTGCCATCCCAGTGAGAGGTGTCAACTTTATGATTCAAGACACGAGTTGTTCAATGTTGTTCATGTTAGAGACGATAGGATTACGTAGCAGTGTGACGACACATTTTTGCTGAAGAGAGCCTCTCAAAGAATCAGTTTGTAACAGCTTGTGTAGGATTTGGACAAATCTTGCAGGTTTTTTTCAGTCGTGTCAAGCCACGTTGCCATGGGGGCCATGGCTCTGAGGCAGTGGCTATGGCATGCGAAGCTGAGTTGCAAGAACGGACCGCTGGCGCCGCCTACGAAGCTGAGCAAGGCTGCCATGGCTGGTCCACTGGTCCACTCCTTCTGCCTTTCAGAGTTTTTCGGAATCTTTCAGATTTCAAAGAAGTAAACAGGGAAGCAACTGGTTCAACAGTTCCGAGTTGAAGGAGGATTCAATTTGCAAGACGTGACCAAACAGCATGTGTGCGTCCAGTTTTTCTAGTCCCAGTGTAAGTCTTTCAGGGCCAGGCTAGAACGAAGTGGTTGATGTCGCTTCAAGTTGGTGCCAAAGCTGATCGCCTGAACATGAACTACCGTCCAAACCGCGAACAAACGGGCCGTGAAGCTTCCACGCAACCTTGAGACCGACACCAAATTTTGATTCTCTGAGCCATTCTGAACCCTTGAGCATTTGGACCAACTGAAGCAGGAGCAGGGCCTCGTGCCCTCGCTGCACGATTTGCAGCCGAGAAGGACTGCCATGCGAATAGGCAATTGATATGGCTGTGACATCTTCCATGAAGTATACGTAGTTTCGACTTGTGACTTGGCCAACTCTGCATGAGGTTTGGGAGGAAAGCAACACGATCAACACAGGGAACACACTACTCATGTTCCTACGTTGCTGAGATTTTGCCTAGGAGAAGGTGCTTATTGCATGCCGTGCGCATGCGCAGTCTAGGTGCCCAGTGCGAGGGAAGCGCCTGCCAAGAGAAATTTGTTCTGCTGTCAACCTTTTTCACTTTTTCGCATGATGGTTCTGCAAAATCAGTATCAGGGTTGATCCAGCCATTGATATCTTGGGTGAGATGCTCCTTGACATTCATCTGGGTGCAGCCATGTTGCTTTGAGAGCTGTCCTTCGAAGCGAATCGGCCCGCGGCTGGCATGTACCATGGCCGGCGTCGTTCCCCAACGCCCACTTTAGGTGGACGTTCCAGGCTGACCGCGAGAGATGAGCAAAGATGCCCAGCTTTTGAACATGAAGGCCACAAATCACAAATCCATCAAATCCACCCTTTCCTCTCCTGATGTCTGTTGTGAGATGCCTAAAATTGTCTGGTTGACTTTCAGCGTGTCAAGTATTTGCGCCATGGAACAGCTCAGGAGATACTTTGGCGGAGATTCCATTGCCCGGGCCTCTAGGGCCTTCAGCAAGTCTGCAGCCGCAGGCGTTAGCATCTCGCCACTGTTTTGCGGCTGGCCATGGATCTCTATTGAGCAGCTTGGCAGTGTAGTTAGCTGTTATCAGCATTGCTTGAAACAGCTTGAGCATCTTTTGCGAGGCAATTTAACCGCCCTTGAATTACCGACAAGTTTTGATTCGTGCCCCGGTCGTTCCCCAAGCATGGCTTGTAATTATATTTCAATGTTTGTACCCTGCACTCAACCTCAATCTTCTAAGTGGACGCAGATGGGATTCCCAAGTAACTTGTTAGACAAGCTCTGAACTTACATTTCTTGCCTAAGGGCACACACGCATTTGAAAGACTTTCCCAAATCCCGTTTTGGGTTTGCTCTTGGTGGTCCTGAGGCATCAGTGGAGGAAGTCTTTTTGAGACCAACTTAGAGGGACATCAGCAACTTCAATTGGGCCCTCGGCCTCGGCCATTGACATGTTTGGCAAACTCCCCCTGTGGCAAGTGGTGGGCCATGGGCGAGTCCTGCTTTGGCGGCCGCTCTGGGCAGGTGGCTATCAGACGATATCAGTTGGAAAGGAATATATAGCAGCTATAGATAGCTATAGCATGCTATAGCATATTCCACCTTTGTGAAACGATTGGTATGACTTTGAGGGTTTGGGATTCCGATCCCTTTTTTGTCAGACACGTTTCCTTTGGAAGAGTTGTAGATGTTCATTGCTTTTCCTGCTGGGCTCAACAGGTCATCATCATGAGCAGTGAGAAAGAAGTCGCTGCTTCACTGCCGGTGGGAGTTCGGCGCTCAGCACGACACGTGTGCTGGGCTGCAAATGGAGAGCTCGTAGCAGCAATCGTCGAGTTTGAGTCGGAGCAGGCGGGCTTCCGAACTGATTGATTGAGCAGATCTCAGCAGATGTTTTGTTTTTCCTAAAAGCATCTTCGATGCTTGGGTTCTCGTTTAGTTGTTCAACCGCGTGGGGGGGCGAGCTGGTTTGAACGGTGGTGTGCGGACGGAGTCGGTGCAAGGGAAAGGAAGGGAAAGGAAAGGAAAGGAAAGGAAAGGAAGGGAAAGGAAGGGAAAGGACGGGAAAGGAAGGGAAAGGAAGGGAAAGGAAGGGAAAGGATGGGAAAGGAAGGAAAAAGGAAGGGAAAGGAAGGGAAACGAAGGAAAAGGAAGGGAAAGGAAGGGAAAGGAATGAATGGGAAAAGAAGCCGCTGCTTGGAGGGCCGGGGGCGGTTATAAGTACATAGCAAGGTTAGAGCACTTATATATCCTACTTACTAAGTGGTGTAACCTACCTTATAAGTGGTGCGAAGTTACCTTATAAGTGGTGCTAAGCGGGTTGCTGTCTCTAAGTCACTTACATAAGTAGTTACTGTTTTCGGCCAAGTATATATTATGTTCCATAAATGATTACGCAACTTATGGCACTTGGCTAACCACTTGGCCTATGTGGGCTAAGTGAGATAGGCAGCTTACGCCCCAAGTGGCCTAAGTCCTGTAAAGGACTTACGCTACTTACGTATCTAGGCTAAGTGCACTTACAAGAATTCGCGGAAACACAAAATCCCGTTTCACATTTGGTGGAAACACAAAATTCTGAATGTGGTTTTTTGTGGAAACACAAAATTCCGTTGCAATAATTTTGTGGAAACACAAAAATCCAAATCGCGTTTTGCGGAAACACAAAAGCGCTCGCGGACTTAGGTAAGTGCTGTAAGCCACTTACGTAAGTGCGCTAAGTGCTGTCCCAGTAAGTCCACTAAGTGACATACTGTAAGCGCTGTATCCAAATAGTAAGTGCCGTATGTACCTAGCATGTCCCTTATGTGCTTATAACCGCCCCCGGGCCTCCAAGTGGAGATCAGCGAGTTTGGCTGCGCGGACGGCTGCGGACGGCGTGGGTGCAAGGGTGGCTGGAAATGTGTGGGGAGAAGAAGCCGCTGGTGATGAGCGAGCTTGGCTGCGCGGACGGCTGCGAAGAATTGCGCGGACGGCTGCGGACGGCGTGGGTGCCAGGGAGTGGCTGGAAATGGGTCGGGACGGCAAATGGGTGGGGAGAATGCGGACGGCAGCGGGCGGCGTGGGTGCAACGGAGTGGCTGGAACTGGGTGGGGAGAAGACGGCGCTGGTGATGAGCGAGCCTGGCTGCGCGGACGGTTGCGGACGGGAAATGGGTGCGGAGAATCTGCGGACGGCGTGGGTGCAACGGGGTTGCTGGAAATGGGTGGGGAGAAGAAGCCGCTGATGATGCGCGAGCTTGGCTGCGCGGACGGCTGCGGACGGCAAATGGGTGCGGAGAATTGCGCGGACGGCTGCGGACGGGAAATGGGTGCCGAGAATTGCGCGGACGGCTGCGGACGGCGTGGGTGCAAGGGAGTGGCTGGAAATGGATGGGGAGAAGAAGCCGCTGGAGATCAGCGAGCTTGGCTGCGCGGACGGCTGCGGACGGGAAATGGGTGCGGAGAATTGCGCGGACGGCTGCGGATGGCGTGGGTGCAACGGGGTAACTGGAAATGGGTGGGGAGAAGAAGCCGCTGAGCGGGCTTGGCTGCGCCGACGGCTGCGGACGGGAAACGGGCGCGGAGAACTGCGCGGACGGCTGCGGACGGCGTGGGTGCAACGGAGTGGCTGGAAATGGGTGAGGAGAAGAAGCCGCTGGTGATGCGCGAGCTTGGCTGCGCGGACGGCTGCGGACCGGAAATGGGTCGGTCGGCGTGTGTGCCAGGGAATGGCTGGAAATGGGTGGGGAGAAGAAGCTGCTGGAGATCAGCAAGCTTGGCTGCGCGGACGGCTGCGGACGGGAAATGGCTGCGGAGAATTGCGCGGACGGCTGCGGACGACGTGGGTGGAAGGGAGTGGCTGGAAATGGGTGGGGAGAAGAAGCCGCTGGAGATCAGCGAGCTTGGCTGCGCGGACGGCTGCGGACGGGAAATGGTTGCGGAGAATTGCGCGGACGGCTGCAGACGGAGGGAGTGGCTGGAAATGGGTGGGGAGAAGAAGCCGCTGGTGGTGAGCGAGCTTGGCTGCGCGGACGGTTGCGGACGGGAAATGGGTTCAGAAAATTGCGCGGACGGCTGCGGACGGCGTGGGTGCGAGGGAGTGGCTGGAAATGGGTGGGGAGAAGAAGCCGCTGGTGATGAGCGAGCGTGGCTGCGCGCACGGCTGCGGACGGCTGCGGACGGCAAATGGGTGGGGACAATTGCGCGGACGGTTGCGGACGGCGTGGGTGCCAGGGAATGGCTGGAAATGGGTGGGGAGAAGAAGCTGCTGGAGATCAGCAAGCTTGGCTGCGCGGACGGCTGCGGATTGAAATGGATGCGGAGAATTGCGCGGACGGCTGCGGACGGCATGGGTGCAAGGGGGTTGCTGGAAATGGGTGGGGAGAAGAAGCCGCTGGGGGTGAGCGAGCTTGGCTGCGCGGACGGCTGCGGACGGGAAATGGGTGCGGAGAATTGCGCGGACGGCTGCGGACGGCGTGGGTGCAAGGGAGTGGCTGGAAATGGGTGGGGAGAAGAAGCCGCCATGGTGATGAGCGAGCTTGGCTGCGCGGACGGCTGCGGATGGAAAATGCTTACTTTTGCTTAGCGGAATTTTAGATTTTTTTTGGGCCTTGTTTTTCTTCAAAGTCAGGGGAGTGGCAGGGGCAGCTAAAAACGAGAATCAAAAATAACTTTGAAAGAAGTAAACGAGAAAACCATGTATATCATAGAATAGAAACCTGTTTCCTACCACTGTGCAAACGCATGCCGAACCATCATATATCTCCTATAAGAAATGACGTTTCAATCCCATTAGACTTCGTTTGCTGACCTGATAAACAAAGAAGCTTCAGACGAAACTTGCAAGGTGGGATGCAACCGGTAAATCCATGTACGGAAAAAAAACACCAAAATAACTTTGCATGGTTTCAACGAGAAATGTTCCTTCGGGGAACGAGGAAAGGAAATAAGTTTCTGAATCTTGAAGCATTGGAACCATTGAGGCTGCACGCGTTTCATTTTAGGCAGAGCAGCTAAATCTGATCCCTAACGTCCCAAAAATGCCAGCACATTGCATGTGGCAGGCCGGCCGGAGCAGCCAGACCTGCCGTCTGCTTGCTGAGCTATCGAAATTTCAAAATTTTCGACTTGCTTTGCCAGTGCATGAACAGGACTAGCCGGAGCAGCTAGTTCCTGTCACACACACAAGTCGTACAAGCTAGGCGGCAACCAGCGGGTCCCAAACGTCATCCTCCTCTTCGTCTCCTTCATCGTTGTCATCGCCATTGCCATCCTGGTTTGTTTTTATTTTTTTAGGCGGAGGCTCCTCAGTCGCCTTGGCTTTCGGCTTGGGCTTCGGCTTCCCAGACGCATTTGCTTTCCTTTTTTTGGTTTCTGTCTTTGCTTTTGGGCCTGGCTTCGGCTTCGGAGTCGGAGTGTGGGTCACGACGCCGATGGCTTGCGCATAGTTGTTGTTGAACAAAGGGCTCGACGGGTCACGGGTCTGCCATGCTGGTTTGCATCAGGTCAAGTCCCTCCAACAGCTTGCTGTGGACCTCGTTGTAGGTGACACCAAGGTAGGCCACTCTGTTCTGCAAACAAGCAAAAGCTAGTTTGCCATCTGCTGCCCTCAGATCCACATCCATCTTCCCAAAGAATGTGTGCAACAGCTCTTCCATCAGCTCAATGGGAGGGCTGAAGAAGCACACTGGCTCTGGCGCGTCCTTCGCACGGTCATTGACCTTGGGCTCGTCGTCCATATTCGTCCATCCTTCTATTTTGCCTCCCACGGAGATGAGGTGCTTCTTACCATAGAGGCCCTTTTTCTGAGACCATTTCAATGTCCATTCGTCCGAAAGCCTGGGCAAGAAGTTTTTGGAGAGAGCCTTGGCCGGAGCAGCCAATGGCTCTCGTGTCCGAGGCAGGGAACGGCCGGGTCAGAAATACCACTAAAACAACTGGAGCCAAAAGCGACGACGAACGAGTATTAAGAAGCTCCTAAGGAGAGGTCAAATCGTCCTCTCCTTAGGAGCATCGCTAACGACGGCGATGCTCCTATAAGGAGAGGACACGGAGAGGACAATGGTATGTTTTGCATGATCGCTTAACGGAATTTCAGTTTCGTCCTCTCCGCGTCCTCTCCTTAGGAGCATCGCCAACGACGGCGATGCTCCTAAGCAGAGGTCAAACCGCCCTCTCCTTAGGAGCTTGTCAGGGGCAGCGGAGAGGCTCCTAAGAGTCTTTCGTCTTGTTTTGCTGTCATGGATTTCGAGCTCGACGAGCAGCTGGCTTCTGCAAGGCCGCCGCTGTGCAAACATTTGCTACCATACAAAAATGAGGCTCCCAAGCGCCCAGGCCGGATCAGCCTGTTGCGTTCGTCATTGCTGCCTAAGTAAAACTAAGACTGCCAAGCGCGCAGGCCGGAGCAGCCTGTGTCACGCTTCTGTCAGGATTGCGATCCGAACTCAGCCGGAGCAGCTGATGTTCGACTTGCCAAAGTCCACATGAAATTCCCCAGTGCGAAGATTAACATCCACACGGCCTTCGTGCACTGCCACGAAAAAAAAATCATACCAGGTGCCCATTTCCAAGTGAACCCCTGCTTGGCTCACTTGCAAGAAAAGTGCCATGAGCTCTTCAGCATGAAGAAACTCTTGCTTGGTATTGTTGGTGAGACCGCATTTAACGCCTTGCATTCGCAGCGGCAACCCTGTGACAATGCGACGGTCTGGGGCTGCATCTAAGTCTGTCAAGTTGATTGCCGTCAAAATGTCCAAGGCTATCTCCAGGTCCTGCAAACATTTGGCAACGCCGGTGCCATGCAAGTGCTGCCGCATCCAAAAGAACGCATTTCTGCAATTGTCCACTCTGTCTGGCACTTCATGCAGCGGAGAAGCTTTCAGTAACTTAGTGCGAGTTTTGGAAACAAGGGCGAGAAAACTTTCACGTTCATCCTCAAGCTTTGCAGCCAATCCCCCATGGCTGCCTGTAACCATGACCCAGCCTCTGGGCATGCAGGATCCAAGAGAAATTCAGCTGTCCATTTGCTTGACAGCCGCATCCATTTGGACTTGCCATCGCCAGACCCAGCGCATGCAGCTTTGGACGGATCAGCCAAAGACTGCATGGCGCTGAATGTGGCTTTGGCCGGAACAGCCAAAAGCCATCCGCGGACAAGGACAGGAACTGCAGCAGTTCAGAGCCCAACGCCACGAGAAAAGAAAATAGCGCATGTGCTATCCCTAATAACTTTTCTGCCTTGAAACGTGTTTCAGAAAGGAGACCCACGAGAAAAACACAAATTACATTGGTGACACAGGTGCTGGGTTGAACCTAACGCTTCCAAACATTGAGAGTTCAATGGTCATTTCCCGACTGGAAATCACAGATTGACAGCTGTTTCCAAGTTATCCAGCAAAGTAAAACGCAATGGCGGGTTTACGGGGTCCCTGGTTTTGATGCAGAAAATAACTTTGCTGAGAGCAAACGAGTAAAGAAAATTAGAAATTTACAGACAAAAAAAATATTTACACAAAAAATAGTCCAAAAAAAAATCTAAAATTCCGCTAAGCAAAAGCAAGAATGGCTGCGGAGAATTGCGCGGACGGCTGCGGACGGCGTGGGTGCCAGGGAGTGGCTGGAAATGGGTAGGGAGAAGAAGCCGCTGGAGATCAGCGAGCTTGGCTGCGCGGACGGCTGCGGACGGGAAATGGGTGCGGAGAACTGCGCGGACGGCTGCGGACGGCGTGGGTGCAAACGAGTGGCTGGAAATGGGTGGGGAGAAGAAGCCGCTGGTGATGAGCGAGCTTGGCTGCGCGGACGGCTGCGGAAGCAAATGGGTGGGGAGAATTGCGCGGACGGCTGCGGACGGCGTGGATGCAAGGGAGTGGCTGGAAATGGGTGGGGAGAAGAAGCTGCTGGAGATCAGCGAGCTTGGCTGCGCGGACGGGTGCGGACGGGAAATGGGTGCGGAGAATTGCGCGGACGGCTGCGGACGGCGTGGGTGCAAGGGAGTGGCTGGAAATGGGTGGGGAGAAGAAGCCGCTACTTGGTGGTTCCTTTCTGCTAATAGAACTTGCATGTAACTTGCAGCTGGGTTACAAGTTGGGTGTAACAGCCTTGTAAATGTCGTAAGTTTTGTAAGTTCGGGAGCTGAATTTGAATGAGTTATATGTATGTTATTGGACGTGAAAAAGTTGCTAAGTTCTGCTAAGTTTTTTACAATGATTTTAAAAAATAGCCGAAAAAGAACTTACAAGTAACTTAGGGAAGTTATCTTTTTCAATGTTAAAAAATCATACTGTTTTTTCTATTATCTTCCTTAACGGCTTGGCGCGGAGAGATGTTATATGTTGCTAGAATGCATTTTTTTGGAACTCGCAAAACATTGCGAATTTGGCTTTTCGTTTCGAGGATGCTGCCCCTGACACCCACAGCAGACCGACCAAACCATGGCCCAAACCATGGACAAGAAAACCGAGAAAAAAGAAGAACAAGAAGCAGAAGTGAGATGCTGACTTGGACTACATCAAACGGTGAAGTCAGTTTTGATGTCGTTGTCGATGCTGGAAAAATGCAGCAATGTTTGCGTGATAAATGTTGCCTTAACAAATGTTTCAAGCCAAGTTCAAATCACAAGCCCAACATTTTCCAATCACAAGTTCAAACATACCTTCAAAAAATGACAAAGCTGTGAATGTAAATCAACTCGTTTCACATGTACTTGATTATCAAAAACCATTAAAGAAAAACATATAAACCAAAAAAAACAAATGTATAAAAATGTATAACTATGTATAACTAAAACGGGGTTCGAGTTATACATGTATAACTCAAAAAGAAATCAAGTTATACATGTATAACTCAAACAGAAACGAAGTTATACATGTATAACTGGAACATCAAAATGTATAACAATGTATAAAAATGTATAAAAATGTATAGCTGCGTGTAACATGTTTCACCTTTTACTAATATTTTCTGTTGATTTCTCGAATCATACTGCGCTATGCAGAGCGAAAAGCTTTCCAAATCTGTCAAAATTAAATTTGTTATTGCACATCCGCTGCATCACAAAACTATCATTGCAAAGCCACTTCACTTTATACTTTTTCAAAGTTGAATCTTCAGACTCAAAAATATTAGATTCGAAGGCGGCCCAGCTAATTGTCAATGGTACCGTAATTATTTAAAGTTCAGTTCACTGAGGTCTGGTTTCAATGAAACGGTCAATGATTAGTTTCAAGCCCTTGGGATTAGTTTCAAGGCGGCCCAATGAGCAGCCACTTCCCATCTATAGAGAAGTACCATTACTGCGGCCCATTGGGGATGCAAAATCATCTTCAGCTATAACAAAACATTCTAGAGAAAAGCATCAAAACAAAGCAAATTGATCTCTCTTCACGCCAGCCTTTGTAGTAAATAAAAATAAAATAAGCTTTTTCTTAAAGCTTTTCTAGCTTCAAAACAACTTAAAGAAGTTACAAGTTCAGTAAGTTAAACTTAGAGAATTTAAGGGCTAATATTGAATTACAATTAAACCATAACTTCACTAACTTCACTTGCAACTTCTCCAACCACGACAAGTGCCGCAACTAAGTTGCAACTTCTGTAACAAGAAAGGAACCACCAAGTAGAGATCAGCGAGGAGATCAGCGAGCTTGGCTGCGCGGACGGCTGCGGACGGGAAATGGGTGTGCAATTCTCCGTGCGCGGACGGTTGCGGACGGCGTGTGTGCCAGGGAATGGCTGGAAATGGGTGGGGAGAAGAAGCTGCTGGAGATCAGCAAGCTTGGCTGCGCGGACGGCTGCGGACGGGAAATGGGTGCGGAGAATTGCGCGGACGGCTGCGGACGGCGTGGGTGCAACGGAGTGGCTGGAAATGGGTGGGGAGAGAAGCCGCTGGTGATGAGCGAGCTTGGCTGCGCGGACGGCTGCGGACGGGAAATGGGTGTGCAATTCTCCGTGCGCGGACGGTTGCGGACGGCGTGTGTGCCAGGGAATGGCTGGAAATGGGTGGGGAGAAGAAGCTGCTGGAGATCAGCAAGCTTGGCTGCGCGGACGGCTGCGGACGGGAAATGGGTGCGGAGAATTGCGCGTACGGCTGCGGACGGCATGTTGGAAGATGCGCATGCGAGTTGATCATGGCCATATGCAGTTCAAAATCGTGACAAATCGTGATGAATTATGTTTTTTGCCACTTAAAATTATGACAATTTGTCGGAAATACCGTGATAAACCGTGATCTGTTCAGGATTGACCGCTCATCTTATAAGGGCACAAACCACTTTTCGCTTGTGCTCACAGCATTTTACGGTAAAATTATGGTTACCGCAAATGTTGCCAAATTTTGGCTACGGATGTCAAACAATGCCTGCAGACGTCAAAAAACGAGGTTTACCGCAAATGTCAGCAAATAGACCCAACATTGGATCCACATGGTTTTTTGGAACATGATTTTTGTGTCGGTCCAATGAGCAACTCTTGTTTTCTTGTTTTCTTGTTTTCTACGAGTGCCTCTTTTTTGATGCCGCTCCATTGAACAAAACAATTGCCCTTTTTTCGCACAACATTTTTTACATGTGCATTTGGTAGAAACAAAACACATGTATAAATTATAAACGTTTTTTTGGCGGACCATTAAGCAAAACAACAAAGTCTTATTGCTGAAATTTATGTTCAATCGGATGCCAAGGTTACAACCTTTTCGATCGCAGTTCTCGGACATGAAACTAATGTCAAGGCTCGGAAACATAGCTTCCAACCCTTGGGAATTCATAATTCTTGCAAATAGGACTGCGAAGTGTTCAATTTACAAGACATAATTTTCAACTTTTGGGAACCAGCATTCCCTGGAACTTGGAACCCATCGTTCCAACTTGCAACTTGCGAAAAATGGTTCCAATCTTTGGAGACCGGCGGCTCCTCGAATTGGGAATCCGCGATTACAACATTCCAAAGCATTGGTACCAACGTTTCGGAACCAGCAATTCTTAAAACTAGAACCCTACAGTTCCAAGTTTGGGAAGCATTGATTCCAATCTTTGAGAACTGGCAGTTTTTCGAATCGCAAACACATGGTTCCAAGATTGGGAAGCATGGGTTCCCACGCTTGAAAAACGGTAGTTCCTAGAATTGGGAACCCGTGGTTCCAAGATTGGGAAGCATCGGTTCCAATGTTTGGGAACCAACAGTTCCGCTTTTGCCGCTTTTGTCACAACCAATTCGCACGGCATAAAAAACGTGTCTGAAACATTTTCTATTTGGGGTCAATGCTGGTGTAATTTTTATTTGATTTTTTCAACTGTTAAACTGCACCCTTGATTTTCCGTCTCATGGAAATCCAAGAGCATCGCTGATATTTCTTTAAGTGTTTTCAAAGTATATAGCAATTACGTTCCTGCAAGATACAGTATTTCCAGAGAAATGGTAGTGATACAGGATACTTTGGAAATATGAGCGTCTCCAAAGATCATTTTCTGGACAGCCTTCATGCAAACATCCAAAACATCGCAATTTTCATCCGAAAGATCTGGAAGTGTCTGGAAGTGTCTGGAAGGTGGTGGCAGCAGATCAGCAACTGATGGTTTGGTCCTGGCCATCAGGGGAGCGTTTGGCAAGCTCCAGCTGCGGCCGTGGCACACAGGCTGGGTGGCACTGTCACTAAATACCCAAGAATTTCTTGCACTGAAAAATCTTCTGTGGCCAAAACGATAGGTTCAGTAGGTTCAGTAATCTTTGATTTGCTGTGTATGAATCTCACAGTTCCGTTCGACACCCTCAGGACGTAGCCGGGTCACCAGATGGTGCTGTTCTGCTGACAGTGGGGCCAGCTGGAGCCAAGCTCTGGACACTGATGCGCTCGCAGGAGGCTTGGCAAAAAAGTTGAAGACCATCGCAGGGTAGACATAATCCCACATCATTGCATGGGATTTTAAGTTGAGCACAGCTACAAACCTTGTTTGATTGGATTATATACTTGCTTTTCCGAGTCTTCTGCCTGCCCCAGCATCTGCCCTTCAAGTCATGGGATCAACAAAGCACACTGACTGTACAAGAGCCCATGTGCCAATGCTGACACACCAAGTCTGTCCTCAACAGAGATCCTTTGCAAATAAGGAGTCGACTGGAGTGAAAGGTGCTGGGGTCAAGGCCGGTTTTGAAACCACAAAGGGTTCTTGCATGGCCAGGTTTCTTGTGGAAGAAGCACCATTGAAGCAAATCCTTATGGACAGAACGCGCCCACCAGAAATATCACATTATTTGTTTCTGCTACGTTTCTTGGTTTCTTCTCAGGAAGGTTGCGGGACCCTGGACATTTTGTCAGTTCCATGGTAAGTCCTTGTTGGGCTAGTTCTCGACCATTTGCCGCAGCTTTGGGCTCGCCGTGGACTCCGCACGAGTCGTCTCATGTCGCCAATCAGGCTATTGGCATTGCTGTTGGTTGCTTCAACTGTAGAGAGCAATGGGGCAAAATCCAACTGTTCCAATGCTGGCCTCACTTTAGTTCAGAAGCGCCAAGTCAGTTCAAAGCTGCACCCCGAAGTTAAAGGAGTCGCAACGGTTTTGGCTGGCAAGGCCGTTCGCTTTCGATCCTGGGATGGGAAGTTCCTGCATTGCCACAGCGGGAGAGTTTCAGTCTCCGACGTTGGCTCTGAGTTTGTTCTACAAAAGCACGGATCAGCTGCCTTGTATTCGGGTGACTCAGTGACTTTGGCATGCGCTGGCCGCCGACTTTCAATCCTTCAGGATCAAATTCAGGTGGGTTCCCCTGCACAGATAGGAGATGCATTCATTTTGCAGAAGCAACAAGGAGATGGCTTGCTGCAAGAGAATGATGCAATCTATTTGCTCAGTACAAAAGACCTCCAGGCCTTGAAAGTTGAAGGTAACGAGCTCAAACTTAGGCTAGCCGAGAATGATCAAGGCGAGGCCTTTGTGGTAGAAGGACTCACAGGTCCCAGGAATCGTTGGGTGGTTGTACCAGACCCTGACGGCTTTTGTGATGCGACTCTCAGGTGTCACAGGAGATTGAAGGTCAGTTGTACTACGCCAAACGGAACAGAACTGAACTTTCAAGATTGTGATCACGAGCATCGCCCTTGGAGCTACGAGCCATGCTTCAAGTCACCTATGGGTGCCTGCATTGATGTAGCTCAGTCCGATTGTACCGATATTCCTGGATCTTGGTGGAACCCTGATGGAAAGACTTGCCAAGAGTATGCAGCACCAGATTGCCGTCACAATGAGATGGTGCGCAGTGCCTGTGGTCAGACTTGCAATGGCAATGGCTGCAACCCAAAGAAAACATTGCCAGTCCAGGCAGGTTGTCAGGACGATCCCATCTACAGGAGTGCCTTTAACTGGCATTGTGCATGGTTCAAACAGCGCAACTGTAGCGCATATCTTTTCAAAGACGAGTTAATGAAGGCATGCAAAAAGTCTTGCAAGCTTTGTTGACCACCATCAGCGAGTGGGAAGAGCAGGCTTACAGTAACAGTACATGGAACTTGACCTGCATAATGTGGAATTTCATCTTTTAAACTACTTGGTATCCAGCAAAACCAGCACGTTACTTTTTTGTATATACAGAACTATCTTATAACCAGGATGATTTTGGCCTTGAGCCTGCAGAGATATGCTCAAGTTCCACCAGTTTTTGGCTTGCCCAGCCCACTTGAAAGCGTCTTCTTACGGCACTGCAACATGCTACAGACACAGGGTGAACATCACCCTGCTGCCTGTCTCGCCTGAGCGGAAGCTCTGGAGCGGAAGCTCTGGGAGACAGACAATATCGAATGCTCCAGAGAAAACAAACACCTCTGCAAGATGGTCTCCAGAGAAATCAAATTAGTCTCAAGCTGTTTGCGACTCTTCAGAGGCAAGCCTAGACTCTCCTAGACATGCAGATTTTTCATCGCCATCTTGTTCCTTGTCAGGCCAGCGCAGCGAGCGCAAGCTTCGGCATGTTGCCGTTGCGCCTGGTGGGCCGTGCATTGCCTGCGCTGCCCGGACCGAAGACATTGAACGCTCCTGGCCTTCGTCGACGGCCTGAGGATGCCCTGGTAGCCGTGGCTTGGGGTGCCTTGACGATATTTTGAACATTTCTGAACAGCTGCTTTTATATCATTTTATTTCCACAACATGTACAAGATTGTACAAGTAAGTAGCCTTCACTTAGGTTTTCTTGGCAGCAGGGGCCATGGGACAACACAACTTCCCAGTGAGAAACTTTTGAGTTACTCTTGTGAAACTTCTAAATGAGAATTTTCTGAGCTACGTTCTTCTTATTACCTTTTAAAGGTGGCCTCTCGTTTCTTTGTCTTCTTCTTCTCCTTCTTCTTGTTCTATTTTGTCTTGTTGTTTTGGATGTTTTTGGTGGCTGTTGCTGGTGCTGGTGGTGATGGCGGTGCTGGTTCTGGTGCGGGTGGTGTTGCTGGTGGTGCTGCTGGTGGTGGTCGTGGTTGCGGCGGTGGTGATTCTGTTTCTGTTGCTCTGCCTGAACCTGACGTTATTCTTTTTAATGTTGTTGTTGCTGCTGTTGTTGTTGTGGTTGGTGGTTGGTGGTTGGTGGTTGGTGGTTGGTGGTTGTTGTTGTTGTTGTTGCTGTTGCTGTTGATCTTGGTACTGTGGGTGTTGTTGTTCTTGGGCCTTGTTGTTCTTGTTGTTATTGCTGTTGATGTTGGTTCTGTTCGGGACATCGCCTTCTAATGGCCAGTAGGCGACTTTCCAATAAAATGCCTGCAATAAACACAAAAAAAACAACAATGTTTAAAACATTGTGGGCCAAGGCATCACTCTCTATTTGTGTGTATGTTTTGCACTGGGATGATGAAAAGCGAGTTCCCGCAGTGAGGCTCAAAACAGGCTTGATAAGAACTAGAAGTTACATCACATGGCCAGGAAAGTAATGAAAAAAAGTGGCAAGAAGCTTGGCCACGCGGCCGTGCTGTCAGGAAAGATGTAGACGCAATGGAGGAATCACATACTGAAGACTTCTACTATACATGACTCTATGTGGTTCTCACCCGCACGCATGCTTTGTGTGCTCGTGTCAGCGAAGTGTTGAAAATAAGAGCTAGTGATTTCCACTGGTCCGGGAAGACTGTGACTATTGCGGCGCTCAAACGTCAACCATAGGCCAGATTGAAAAAAACAAGCATGTTTGTCATGCACCCTTGAAGTTTCAACTTTTGCAAGAGTATCTAGGTGGTTTCAACTTAAAGTGAAGCGTAACTCATAATGTTCTCAATTTGAAATTGTGTTTTTCCCACAGCCCCCGCTGCTAGAAAAGCACCACCCTTCAGGTCAACAAAGTGCTTTTGAACGCTGTTCTTCCTACGCTTCGTCGCTTGAGGAAGAAGGGGAAATCCCTTGTGCGTAACAGACGTTGCGGCGTGCGCGGCGCAATGTCTTTCAAAGACTCCTGGAGTCGGCCTACAGGGCAAAATTATTTGTTTCCAGATCGGACGGGAAAATCCCATATCAAAAAGGACATGGTGTGTCACGCGATTCAAAAAGCTAGGTGTTCGTTGAAGGCAATGGAATCACACAAGACAAGGAGTCATTCAGGAAGACATACTATGATCAATACTTTGAAATCCGAAAATGTGCTGGCAGACGCCGGAGTGAGTTTTGCAAGAATCTCTCACAAACGTACATATGATGATCTTTATTGCCAGCTAGATCAGTTGCAAGCAGGCAACGCTTTGGAACTTTAACCAACGTTTGAAAAGGACGCTGGAAGCTGTCTATGGCTGACTACAGTTGACTTCATTCCTTGGCTCAAAAAAGGAATGGGGGCTGTGAATCGGATATGACTGTATATAGATCTGACCTATTTACAATATTTCTTAAGGATCTTATGGATTGCTGGCAGCAGCGGCTCTCTTGTGGGGTGCAATGGTCTATCACAAATTCAGTTGAGCTAAGTGACAGATTCGCAACAGTCTCAGGAAGGAGTCCTAGGACTAAGGTCTCAGCAGAAATACTAAGGTCTCAACAGCTTGTAGGCAAAAACAGGTATGTGCAGCTCAGCGCATGCGCAGTGGCTTCTTTCAGAGCCGGGCGCCTGGGTGTGAAATAACAAAATTGAGGTGTCAAAAGCGATGATTTAATCATATCTTACTACATTGCTACGTATCTTGCTAAGTGACGACTCTGAAACAGGCCACTGCGCATGCGCTGAGTTGCACACAAACGTCTGGAAACAGAAGATCCTTAAGAAAACCAATGGTGAAATGATTTTTTGCTTGGCAACTGCAAACTGCGATGCTCAGAAATTGGTGATCCGGAGCCGGGCGCCCGGCTCTGAATTAGGAAGTTAGAGCTTTCAAACCGACTGTTTCTTTCTACGCAAGATACGTAGCAAGTTCTGATTAAATCATCACCTTTGACACCTCAATTTTGTTATTTCACAGCCGGGCGCCCGGCTCTGAAACAAGCCACTGCGCATGCGCTGAGCTGCACATACCTGTTTTTGCCTACAACCTGTTGTCCTGTAGTATTTCTGTTGAGACCTTAGTCCTAGGACTCCTTCCTGAGACTGTTGCGAATCTGTCACTTAGCTCAACTGAATTTGTGATAGACCATCGCACCCCACAAGAGAGCCGCTGCTGCCAGCAATCCATAAGATCCTTAAGAAATATTGTAAATAGGTCAGATCTATATACAGTCATATCCGATTCACAGCCCCCATTCCTTTTTTGAGCCAAGGAATGAAGTCAACTGTAGTCAGCCATAGACAGCTTCCAGCGTCCTTTTCAAACGTTGGTTAAAGTTCCAAAGCGTTGCCTGCTTGCAACTGATCTAGCTGGCAATAAAGATCATCATATGTACGTTTGTGAGAGATTCTTGCAAAACTCACTCCGGCGTCTGCCAGCACATTTTCGGATTTCAAAGTATTGATCATAGTATGTCTTCCTGAATGACTCCTTGTCTTGTGTGATTCCATTGCCTTAAACAAACACCTAGCTTTTTGAATCGCGTGACACACCATGTCCTTTTTGATATGGGATTTTCCCGTCCGATCTGGAAACAAATAATTTTGCCCGGTAGGCCAACTCCAGGAGTCTTTGAAAGACACTGCGCCGCGCACGCCGCAACGTCTGTTACGCACAAGGGATTTCCCGTTCTTCCTCAAGCGACGAAGGATAGGAAGAACAGCGTTCAAAAGCACTTTGTTGACCTGAAGGGTGGTGCTTTTCTAGCAGCGGGGGCTGTGGGAAAAACTCAATTTCAAATTGAGAACATTATGAGTTACGCTTCACTTTAAGTTGAAACCACCTAGATACTCTTGCAAAAGTTGAAACTTCAAGGGTGCATGACAAACGACAAACATGCTTAATAGTCACGGCCTTCCCAAACCAGTGGAAATCACTAGCTCTTAATTTCAACACTTCGCTGACACGAGCACACAAAGCATGCGTGAGGGTGACAACCACATAGAGCCATGTAGTAAAAGTCTTCAGTATGTGATTCCTCCATTGCGTCCACATCTTTCCTGACAGCACGGCCGCCTGGCCAAGCTTCTTGCCACGCTTTTTCTTTACTTTCCTGGCCATGTGATGTAACTTCTAGTTCTTATCAAGCTTGTTCTGAGCCTCACTGCGGGAAGTCGCTTTTCATCATCCCAGTGCAAGACATACACACAAATAGAGAGAGAGAGAGAGAGTGATGCCTGGGGCCACAATGTTTTAACATTGTAGTTGTTTTTTTGTGCTTTTCGCAGACATTTTATTGGAAAGTCGCCTACCGGGCATTAGGCGATGTCCTAAACACAAAAAACACTGAAGTGAACTTCTTAGGGGTCAAAAAAGGCGATGTCCCAAACAGAACCAGCATCAGCAGCAACAGCAGCAAGAACAACAAGGCCCAAGAACAACAACACCCACAGTACCAAGATCAACAGCAACAGGAACAGCAACAACAACAACAACAACCACAACCACAACCACAAACCACCAACCACCAACCACCAACCACAACAACAACAGCAGCAACAACAACATTAGAAAGAATAACGTCAGGTTCAGGCCGAGCAACAGAAACAGAATCACCACCGCCGCCGCCACGACCAACACCAGCAGCACCACCAGCAACACCGCCCGCACCAGCACCACAACCAGCACCAGCACCAGCCACCAAAAACATCCAAAACAACAAGACAAAATAGAAGAAGAAGGAGGAGAAGAAGACGAAGAAACGAGAGGCCACCTTTCAAAGCTGATAAGAAGAACGTAACTCAGAAGATTCTCATTTAGAAGTTTCACAAAAGTAACTCAGAAGTTTCTCACTGGGAAGTTGTGTTGTCCCATGGCCCCCGCTGCTAAGAAAAGCCAAGTTCAGGTGGAATACTTTCTGTTTTAAGTGCAGCATGAGGTGTGTCCTGTGTCTGCCTAAAAGACATGAAAAAACGAGGTAGGAAGATTGGAGACCTAGAAAAGATAAGAACCAAGTGCTGTGTTGGAAAACGAGGTCACATGATCAAAAGGAGGTCAGGAAATGGAAAACGGCCGCCTCGTCTTTGCAGTGACATCAATTAGCTTTATCTCATTTCAAGAGGAATGAAAAGCGTGTTTTCTGATGGTCCAGCACGGGTAGGTACGGACTACAGTTTTTATGGGTACGGTACGGTGGGTACGGTCTTTAGTACGGTGGGTACGGTGGGTACGGTGGGTACGGTATGGTGGGTACGGTGGGTACGGTGGGTACGGTACGGTGGGTACGGTACGGTTGGTACAACATGCAGTGGGTACGTTGCGGTTGGTACGGTGGGTACGTGGTCTTCGGTCTTCGAGTTAAAAAAAAACGCCCTGGGCTGTGCACGCGGGCACGCCGCCCTTTTAGCGCAGCGCGCGCACGCGAAGCTCAGGACCTCTGAAAACTTTTTGCAAAGGAAGTTAAAAGTTGCTAAGTATAGTTAACAGTACAGTCTAATGACAATAACAATATTTGCTTTGACAGGGGTCCTCAAAGTGAAAATGGTCTTTGGATGTCTTTGGCAAAAAGGCCCCAAAATGAAGCCCTTGAATGTCAGCAGTGAATTGACCAATACCCTACCACAACCCTCACCATGCCGT